AAGCCTCGATTAAGCTTTGCTGTCTTATTCAAAACTATTTTATATATGTGTGTATGTGTGAAATTTATGTTTTTATGTGTCGTATTTTTATTTTTATTAAATTTAATTCTCTCTTTTAAATATGTAATTAAATCATGAAATGTATTAATATTGATATTTTATATATCAAGATTAAACCTTTTTTATTCATACAACTACTTTGTCATTTCGCAAATTATTTAATAAAATAAATAATCCAGATTTCAGTAATTTAGTTATGACTATAAGATTGTAATAAAATTAACGTCAATAGCAGATGAGGTACTTTTTCGACAATATATTTAAGATTAAATAAAAAATCTGTTTAACTAGCTCTCCCGTAGCTTGTAAAAACCAGATAGCTTAGAAAAAAAGCTATTTACGAACTTCCACATCCTGCAAATTAAACATTTTTTACTCACTGTTTCACTGGGCAAATATTTTTTTTGTGGAAATCAATGTCGATTCAGCTCTCTCACAAAAAAATAAAATTTTATTCCTGCCTAGTGTGATAAGTTAGAAATTTTTAATTCGCAGGATATGGAAGCCGGAAAATAGCTCTTTTTTTAAGCTATTTGTTTCTTTATTTTTACAAAATAAAGAGAGAGAAGGGAAAACAGCTAAAGAAAGGTGAACAAAAATGTATAATTGAAATAAATCTTGCAGATAATCCCTGAGAAGCTTTTCTATTTCGAGTGTAATTTATTTTTCAGCGCGAACGAAATAATAAGATATTAGTCGCGGATTAAATGAAAATACTTGTGCCACGGCGTTTCCTGTTCGCACACGCACGTTTGTTGGCTAATAAACAGGTGTGTAATGAATGAGAATCGAACTTGTCGGATAACCGGCATAACTACGGTCAACCTTCGAGCATTCTAATCGCATCGTAAGTGGTACTATCGCACAAGCATCACTTTCTCCGTTCCATTAACCGACCATCCTTTTTAGCCTTTCCAAACTGCTAAAAAAAAAGACGTCGCCATAATCACAAATTATACTGAATCTGTTATCTAACAGCGATTATTAGCCTGAAATTCAATTTCACCACATTATTGAACGTACTAAAGATTAGAATTTTTATTAATGCAATAATAAACATTGTAGTACTAGGCAAGAGTTACGTTTTGCACGATAGTTTCTCGATTTAATTTGTATTTGTTATTATTACAATATACAAAATAAAAAAAACTGTATAATAAAAATATACAATTGCGAATTAAGAGCTAAGACATAAAAGTTAAAAAACATTATTTCTAATTATATAAAGAATAATTATTTTCAATTAAAAATTGAAAACTTAAATTTTGAATAGAAACTTTGATTTCAAAATTTCAAAATTCAAGATGACAATCAAATTCTTTACTGTGATGATTACAAAACAACTTTTTTGGAGTAATTTAATCAAAGTTTTAAAAATATTGTTTTAGCAAGTATAATTTCTTTTCAATATATTTAGTGACAGTTATTTTATATATATAACTCAGACTACAGAATAAAAAAATAAATAAAACATAAAAGAATGAAAAATAATGATGCAATGATCAAAAAAAGATGATTGATTGCGCGCTGCTTCATTCGAGAATCGAAAGTGAATTGCGTTCACCGCTCGACGAGCAACCTTTAAATACTCCTCATGCGTCAACCAACCAAAAAAATAAGATTTGCGAAGATTGGCATCCCCCCCCCCCCCCATGTATTTATGACCGACATAAAAGCACCTTACGCATTGAAGAGTATGCATTTCTATACGTCTCAGATATCTTTTAAAATTTGTAGTCTTTAGATCTTACAAATTGTATAAAACACAAAAATTTATAAAGAAAAATAAATGTAATTTATTTACGAAAAAAAGTTATGCAAAAAAAATTTAAGACTTTATAAGAAACGTACATATAAATAATACGTTTGAAAGAAAATTCTCTCCTATACTTTCAACTGTGGATTTTTTCAACTTTATCTAAAATACATTTCGTATACAAGAGATTAATCTTGTTACGCACACGCGACACCATTTATGCGGTGTATAATTCATCGGTAATGGCTTTTCCGTCACCAGAACAGCACGACATAACCGTGAAGCTAATTGGGTGATTGCAGAAATGGCAAACACCCTTACGTTTTAAGCGTCAATATTTCAAGATACTTCGAATGCCTTTGCAGATAGTCGCAAGATTAGAGGGAGATTTATGAGCGCATTTTAACGCTCTTACTATCAAGAGAAACATCACTGGATTTGCGTCGCGTACGACATTCTAGCCATTGCGTAGAAAAATGCAGTCCACATTGAAACGCGAGTCTACAAATTCTCACTCACTACACATTAAATTTCTTTAAAATCTAATATACATTTTTCTAAAATCTATATATATTTCTCTAAAGATTTTTTAATTAATAATAAGCAATTTTATATGTGTTTGTATTTGTGTTAAGAAATTGCATTATAAACCCGCACACAATATTTTTTCGGTAAAAAAGATTTAATGAAGTACTTACGAGTTCAGAAATGTAAAATCTTTATGATACTTAAATTGATAAAGGAAACAACGGGAAATCATAAGAAACTATTTCCTGAGCGCAGTCTGTATACACACGTACGCGCAAGCGTATTATCGGACGTAATTGCGACATAAATCACGAATACCATTCGATCGTCAAAAGATCTCGCTGAAAGCTCGTCAGCGCAACAGTCCGCATTCGCGGTATTAGCAATAATATTAGCGATTACCGTTTCGTGTCACACACAAACGCGCTTTGTGTATAGAATCTCCTCTAACCCTCTGCGGCTGAATATCGGTACTTAACTGACCGTGGACTTTTACTCTTTTGCTCGAATGTATCGGCGAACGTATAGCTATGTCGTAATTATCTATATATTTAGAGTTATAAATGGATTGCAAAACGGCAATCTACTTTAAGTGTTTGTGCGTATAGCTGATACTGTTAATTCTTCTCCTGATTATTTTCATTACGATCATACACATATTATAAAATGCATTAGTTGTTGCAGGATGATTTATTTTACCTCGCGTGAACTGTAAATTTATACAGAGATTTATCTAAGATTACGTTACTTATTCTTTGTTCAATATTCTCACTTTTTCTGAATAGAAATAAAGTTTTATTTCATTATTATTATTGTAGAAAGATTTTTTTTATGAAAATATTTAAATAATATTTAAATTCTAAAATAATTTTTGGAAATATGATCTAAAAATATGCCACTTTCCTAATTATTCAAAGTTCTTAAAGCAATACACAATCCAAACGTATACATAAGAAATTTTTAAATTATATAATTTATCTACGATTCGTGTGTGAAACACGAGTTTCACAAGCAATTCGGATTCTTTTCTTGATAAAAACTAGTAAAAAAAGATTAAAAATCGCGCGCGTCAGAGCTGTGTGAATCAGCTCCATCGAAAAAAGAAATCTCCTGCGGCGACTAAAATAAACGAATACGCCCGATAATGCATTACGTTGTAAAATCAAATCGGCTTTACACATTCGTTTCTCGACCCACGCTAAATCGCCGACCTAGTTCGAGAGATCCGGCGAAAAATAAGACGGACATGCGGGAGCTGCAACGGGGAAAAAAAAGAAAGATAGGTCACTTGCACGCGATAGAAAGCACCGAACATCGATCACGCTTTCTTTCTTACGACCGATTACGTATAAAAAGACATTAGAGTTCAATGAACGACATACACACATATACACACACGCCGACGCGCTTCTTTCCCGAGATCGAGCATGTATCCGACACTTCCTTCATTGTGATCACAGCGGAAACGCGAGAGACGTATTGAGAAGCTAGAGATTTATTTCCCTTCTTGATGGTAGATAGATAATAAAACAGTTTTTTTCCCGTGCGTGAAAGAGCAAATGTGAAAACGACGTTATGAGTATTAATCCGCGTACATCCGCGATAATTTTTTATTCGAGTCACGCGAAATAATTCCCCCGCAACGTTTATTCGGGAAAAGCGTGAGAATATCTTAATATTGAGATATAAATTTTATAGTATATGAATATTTTTCTGCATTTTGCTATTTTTTTACACAATTCAAATAAATCAAAATTCTATAAAAATTTTGAAAATAAAATGCTAATTTCATAAAGATAATATTTTTGGCAATGCATACGCAAAAAAAATGGAATAAATCAACAAACTACGAGACGAGAATGAGACATACAAAATTTCTGTAAAGGGAACATTGAATATCGAAAGTAACACCTCTTACTCTTGTATATAGTATAAAGTGTAACACTTATACTTTATGTGCATGTCACTACATTAATCGCTTAAGTCTATAACGTTCGATTTCTACCTTGGAATTTGCACCGGCTTCCTCAGACAAATGTATGCTCGTATTTCTTCACAATGTCACGGTGACAAAATGTAAAATCGTATAATCAATCGTAAAAACAACGATACTCCCAATCAATTATCTTTATAAATCTTTCGGAAGTATATTTTACATTATAAAAACAAAATATTTTATACTGCTGCAGTTAAGTATTGCAATTTTTATCTCTATTCTCAATGTAAATGATATATATTATCTTTTTTATTATTTTTCCTATTTTATAGATTTATAATTTATTAAAAATTATTCATTTTTGTACACTCTTAGAGTAGTTTACAGAGAATATACATCTCTTGTGTAATTTTTAAACATAGCAAAAAGAAAAACAAATTATTCAGTGTAGAAATGAGATAAATTCATATCATTCATAATGTTTTAACTCTACACAATGTAAATGTTAAAAATGTAAAGTCTACACAAATGTCCTCTACACAAAAATCCTTCATATATAAAGAATATTTAAAAAATATATATTGCAGAGCTCACAAATGATATATACTTATCTCATACTTGCACCGAATGCTTCAATTATGAATCTAGATTAACGCTCAGCGAAGATTATCGCTTAAGCGGCAAGCATATGTATATAAATCAACAGAACACTTTACTCACCGTGAGCTGCGTCTTGTCAGGTGCAATCGCCGTGATCTCGACCGGTCTCGGCTCGGGCGGGTTTGCTCTGCTGAGAATCGCAGCCGGCATTTTCGCGACGAGAGACAGCCTCCTGGTGAGCCGTCTCCCCAATTCCGCTCGCCGGCGCACTCTGATACGAGGCCCGGTGCCCTTGTAGCCTCCGAATTCCATGCTCGAACAAATGCAAACAATCCTTTCCTCCTGATTAATGGTTCTGGTTCATGGCGACACACACACACGCGCGACGACGCCGTTGGTTATCGTTATCGTGGTTGTCACGTAATTATTCGAGCAAATATCGCGAAGGTCCATCTCGTTATGCTCGAACTTCTGAACGGAATATCAGATATCCTCGGCAATAACTCGCGTTCGTACGAATTATCGAAACCTCTGTTTCAGAACTACTGACGCCATTTGTATTGCCGACTTGAAAATCGTTTCGCATGAATGAGCCGATCAAAAAGCCAACCGACCAATAATCGCACCGACTTGTGTGTAATTTTCGCTCTCCGGAAATCGAAGAGTATCATCGACTTCTCGAATTACAGCTTCGGGTAACAATCGCGGATAGATTTATGACATCGCGCGAGACGTAAAAACTGACTAGACGATCAAATGCGCGACGAGGCGGGAAAGGACAAAAGTGCGCGAAGAGACTCGATGATGCAAAAACACAGCTATGTTCATACACCACACGCGCGACGCGCACGCGCGTACAAACTTCTATTCTTCTCTCTCTCTCTTTCTCCTTCTTTTTCCGTCTGTATTTCGATCTCTCTTTTTGTTTTCGAGGGTTCGAAAATCGTAACGCGGAAAAGAGAGCGCTCACCGACCGGTTCTCGATGCTTTAGCGTTCGCTTGCTCGGTCTGCCTGACGCGCTTCGACTGAAATTGAATCGCGGCAGCCTCCTACCACGCGGTCCGCCGCCGCGCCGGCCACCACTAACCGTCTACGCGCGTCTCCGCCTCTCCCCTCGCACCCGTCGCGGAGCACGAGAAGCCGCGCACCGTTGGTAAACAAAACGCACCCCTGCCGGAGATTATCGCGCGGCCGCGACCAAGCACTTGCCGATGATGTAACGGGTGCGCGCACGATCTCGGTCAGGCGTCGGACTAATCGCTGCGCAATACTTGAAGTTGCACCGAACTGTATGTTATACAACATGACAGATCACGATCAGGATTACCACTTCAATGCCAATCTTCCAATCATCTTAAAAAAAAAAACCAAAGAAAAAAAGATTATATTTTACATCACAACTATTTTTCCACAAAATATAATATATATAACGTATTTTTTTCTTAATTTTTTTTATATGCGTGATTACAAATTGGGAGTGAATTGATTCCGCGGCGTTTTGACATGATTTACAAATATACCTTATTCTGTTTCTGCACACACAGAAGCCTTGTTTCTGCGAAATGCGATAATTTTTGAATATGTAAACTAAAATCGCAAAATATACTGCGATAAAAATCTGTAGAATAATAAAAAAAATGATTGTTTTATATTTATAAAGCGTGATGGCGTCGTTGACAAAAGCGTATCCCAACGTCGCACGACATCGCGGTGTTCCCTTCCTAGCCTATAAATAACGAAGACCTATTAGAAAGCGCATTTCTACGCCGATCGCGTCGAACATTCTGATCGCTTGCATAACGCTGTCGTGTTACTTGGCATTATATCCTTCGAAGCTTGTAAACATTCAGATGCAACGTATATAGGGTGTGCTAAAACGGTAGCCTTTTTATGATAAATTTATAAAATTGATTCTCAGTGAAAACTTGTCATATGTAGCGCATTTTTCATCATGTTTTGTGATTGTAATCTCGTGTAACGATACTGCTGCTTCAATTTTGTAATACAGCTATTATTTAATTGCATTTGCTCAATTATCTGTAGCTGCAAGAATATCTGAATTTTCTGAAGTGTTTGATGTAACCTAAATTTTCATTATGAATGGAATCTGTTCTAATGTACACATCTTTTGAAAATAAATGCAAATGATAGACTTAGCAAATTATGTATGTTAATAAGGGTAATGCATAAGTCAGAAAACGTATATCTAACATGTATTTATATATTCTAATGTATATGAAATAATAACATGCACAGATTTCCTGTATTAAGACTTGCAATGTTATTTCCTGGAAATCATACGCAATTATTATGAAATACTGATTACTGTAACAACAGAGAGAGGTGATAGCGAGGAATCGATTAGATAGATTAGATTAGATTAGGATATCCAATCCAATTAAAATTGATTTGAAAACGTACTTTACATTTTTTGTGAATAAAAACGCGCTCCATTTAACATTGTGAAAACGTTTGTGAAATTTGTACGATTAAAAAGAAGGAATCTGTGAAATTAAGGATCTATCGGATTAAAAATCTGCAGTCTGAATGATTTACGAGATCAGGTAAATATCGAAAAATAGTAAATTTCTAGATATATGAGTCAGTTTCACTAACTTTCTTTAAATTATTGAATTTTTAATTGGTGACCCATAAATTTTTAATTGCTTGCTAAAAAATAGAGATTGATTTAACAATCTCTGGATTTAATAAGCGTCATTGCAGCAAAGAAAAAGTGCATGTTTAAGACTCAAGGATTTAACGGATGCGTCTGAGAAAGGTGAAATCGATGGTTTTTCTTTCACTGAGAAGTAGCTATTCAACGTAGAATGAAATCCGAATCCTTACAAGCGTTTGTATACAAATTAAAATTAGCAGAAACAACGTTCGTACCTTTCATTCTTGATTTTTTGCCACTTCTATGATTTCTTCTTGAATTTCTCATCATTTATATATGAAAAATACAAACTTGATGTATTTCATTAAACACGTGCTAAAAAATATATATACATATGTATATAATAAAAATATAATTCATATTTTATTAAATAGCACTTTTGACATATGTATAGCTGTTTAATAAAATGTAGGTATTTTTGTAGGTTACATATATTTATAAATATATTTACATATAACTTCTTCAATGTCTTGTATAATTATTTGTTTTATGTAATCATTATTTTTGTACTTACAAAATACTTTTTTCATTTCTGCTAAAAAGAAGCTTTTCTTTCCTTTTTTTAAAAAATAAATTTTATGGTTATAAACACTTCTATATATTGAAAGGAAAAAATTTCTCTGTAACTCCATCTAGCACATTATTTGAGAGTTAATCGAAGTGTACTCTGTTGGATGCTTGAAGTACTAACGATAACAAAAAGGGCTATACATTTTCCACTGATGTCTGACAAGTTTTTGACATTCCGCTGTAATTTTTGATTCCGGGTGCGAATACCGTTGTTTACGGTCGTGTTACACCGGCCGCGAGAAATAGATGGCGTGTGCAGATGCCGTAGTAGCAAAAGCAGCAGGTAGAATAATTCGTTTCGAGAGCTCGTGCATAACGCTCAAACATGATAAATCCGAACTCGGATTCGGAATCGATTGCGAGTACGGCTGCGGAGCGGGTAGGCGCACGACAGAAGTCAAAGCATGGAACAAACGGTGGACTTGCAACGTTTATTTGGCGACGTGAGAATAATTCGCGACACGAATGCAAGAGAGAAGACTCGATGAACGATATCAAGGCAATGGAACAGAGGTTCAAAAATCCTTCAAGTAGTAAAGTATCGTTTGGTTTTTTTAAGAATATCAAGAAGCACTTGCAAATAAAAAATCTGTGCAAATCCAAACAAAAGGTAAGTGCATATTTTTTTTACTATTTTCTATAGTCTGCTTATGTAGGTGTATTGTTTTGCGATACAATGTACCCTATTTTTTTCTAAAGTGAATTTTCAGTGTTTTCTTCTTTCAGAACAAGGAGACGGAAACAAATTCTTCTCCTATTACAAACCAAAATGCTGTTATATCGATCCATGAGTCTCTTAATTCTTGTCAAGAACAAGAATTGTCAAATAGTGAGCAGGAAGTCTCATCAGATGAACAACTTTTGCATGAGAGTAGATTGGGCAATGTACTTGAAAATTCCTGCCATGGTACTGAAGAAGATATAGCTAATACTAATATGCATTATAGTGCAACTGATATGAATCTTCATGCAGCTCTAATGGAACAACAAAATGGAGCAGCACACAATATTGTGACCACTAGTGATGTAATAATAACACAACCAAATCGTTCCAATGCAATAACAGCAGTTCCTAGTGCAATAGCGGAAGTTTCTGGCAATGTAAATGAAACCTTAAGTAATGAGAATAAAGTTAAAGCGAGTCTCGCAAAAGAACTGCTCAATTTAAGCAAATATGGATGGTATTGGGGTCCTATATCAGGAGATGAAGCTGATGCCAAGCTCATATCTGAACCAGATGGTGCATTTTTGGTTCGAGATTCATCAGATGACAGGTGCAAAATAATTTAAATAATTTAATTTTATACACATTTTTACTCATGTTAAATATTCTTATATTTTTTTATAGATACGTCCTAACGCTCAGTTTTAAATCGTCTGGAAAAATGTTGCATGCGCGTATGGAACATAGCGGTGGTTTATTTTCTCTATGCAATCAATGCACAGAGAGCGAAGGCTTTACTTCGGTGGCTGCTTTAATAAGTCACTCCATGAACTTTAGCCAATCAGCTGTTATTTGTTATTCAAGGCCGAAGTATCCAGGATATCCGTCGTTTCCAGTCAGATTAACAAAACCTGTAAGCAGGTTTACGCAAGTAAGAAGTTTACAATATCTTTGCCGTTTTGTTATTCGTCAAAATACTAGACTAGATAATATACACAAATTGCCTTTGCCAAAAACTATTAAGGGATATATTCAAGAAGCACACTATTGAGACTTAATGGACAAAGAGATAGAAAATATTAAAGAGATTGATAATGAAATTATTTTTATTATGTAAGATATATATTTTTAAAAAAAGTGATATAGAATGAAAGGTGTAAATTTCTATGATGAATTGGCAGCAAGAGGCACCTATTAAGACATTTGCGAAATTTTTATTTTTATCTCCAGTATTATATTGTATTAAAGATATTCTTACTCTGTTCATGATGTATCATTATCTAATATTGAGAAACATAAAGTGAATAATAATAGTTCGTAAATAGTTGAAAAAATGGATGTTCCATTTATCTATTTTTCAGCAGAGTATTAAACATGTATCATTTCTTATTGAATTTAAAGTATTTTATATTTATTACAAGTTATGTAAAATCTTAGGATTTGCAGTAAAATTTCTATTGTAAGCTCGTAAATCGTCACGGGTAGGATCTGACTTCCCCCGTTATTCGATAATAACGGTACATGCGCGCAGTTAGTGAAATTTTTATATAAAAATTAACGCTGGACGATTATACTTAATTATGACAATACTGCAGGGTAAACAAAAATATTTTTTAATTGTTAAACGTTGACTGTATGTAAGCAACGATTTATATCTTTATATTTTGCATGGAGATCATTTAGATTTACTACTTATATATATATATATATTTTATTGTACAGATTTTGTTAAAATATATATATTACTTGTGTAAGATAAATTAGCTATATATACTAAAGTTTTCTTTCCTTTGTATCGTACTTGTACACCTTTCTTACACCTTTTCCTATTGAGACTAGGTACTTACAACAATAGAAAGAACAAATCATTAGTTTACTAAGAAATAATTTATATTTGTGCTTATCTATAACTCTTTTCTTTTGTTTCCTACTTATTTATTTTTCTAAAACCTTCGGTTATTTCTGAAACAATTCATTCCGAGTATATTACGTGCCTAGAACAGAAAAGTAATCATATATATATATATATATTAGTATATTAAAAATTGTTCAGTTTCGGAATAAATTTTAATTTCTTTACATTCAACATAGGACAAAGAAGATAAAAATAAGAAATATATTTACCGTTACAAAAGCAGCAGCACCCGTCTCCCCAAAAAGTTTTAAAGTACTATCCGACGATAATCCCGAGTTAAAAAGTACTTTGTACATTTGTAAAGCATCCTTTATTCGTCTCTCTAGAAATAGCCAGGTCTCTTTGTGATCTTCACTGGTGTCTTGCAGCATATAGAGTTCGGTAGCTTTGTAAATAATTGCCAATATCATTCTTCTGGTATACCAGTTAAACTATTCAAAGTGAGAAATATATAGAATTTAAACAACACATCCGAAAGATATCTTACTCATAATACAGATACAAATATAGTGACACGACTTACATCGACAGATCTATCGCCCGCATAGTAGCAAATGTCATCGATTAAAGTCAATAAATTTGCTAAAGAGACCGGTACGTTTGGTGGTAAGGTCATGATAGCCATTGCTTGCGGCCAGGTTTTTTTGTACGGTATCACCATTCTCAGCCGCTTCTCCAGTGCATCGCGGACTTGTTCTTCCGGCTTCCTTGGTACACTAGTAGAAGCCATTTCGAGGGCCTCTTTCTCCAGGATCTGGTTCAATTGGCGATTGCACGTAGAGTAAAAATAATGTACCAAGTCTGCGCCGCCATTTGGGAACAGTCCATGTACTACGCCTGGATATCCGATTGTTTCAGCACCTTAGGCACCATAGCTTTCGATTACATAATTTTATTTTACTTTTATGTTAAAACAATTTCAACAAATGCAAATCCATAATGCGAATAAATAACAATCTAACATAGAGATTTAATTCATAGAATTAATTTGTATCCTTGAAAAAATGTGGCCATATATAAAACCTGTTAAATTTAAAAATATAAAATATGTTTTTTATATGTTCTTAAAAAATCTAATTTTTAACGCATATTTATAGATATTTTCTGCAAAAATTCATGTTATAATTAGAAAGAAAAGATTGATTTCATAAAGAATAATGATTAATACAACTTTATAAATATAAGATACATTCTTAATATTTGTTAGTTTTTAGTTTTGAAACACGTTTTAAATTTTTTTTTTAATTTGATTTAATTTACTAATCTACAGTATAAAAAAATTTATTTTAGAGAATTAAAAGTATAGAAAAAAAGTATTATAAGTCAAATTACCAGCACTGATAGCCTGTTTGGACCATCCCATATCAGGAACAAATTTTAGGGAGGCACCAAGTATTTTGATCTTAATATTTTTCTCATATTCTTCGTCACTTTCTTCGTGAGCGGATTGTTGCGATTCCGTTTTCCTGTTATTTTCATTTTCGAACTGATCGGCCTGCAAAGCCCTAGAAGTCCATAAATATCTAAAACCTAATAAATCAATATCTACCTTTAAAATTATCTATATGTTAAAAATCTAATCTATATTAGAAATATATATTATATATAAATATATTACATAAAAATTTATCACTTTTGTATATCGCATAACAGACATAAAAAGGTACCAATTAATAAAACACGCAATAAAAAGAGGAACTTTTTATTGAACTACAAATAATTCACAATTTTATGATAGCCCAAGATTTCATGATCGCTTATACAATTATCGATAATAATTTCTATTGAAGAATAATGAAAATTACATTTTTATTAATTAGCATATTTCTGAACTTTTCTCTAACATCTTTTGCCAACATTAATACATTCATTGACTCTGATAAGAATACTTTCCATCACATCTAAACTATTGAGGGCTTGATAACATACAGTTATCTTTTGCGAAATTGGCATGCATGGTAATTCTTCACCACCGATGATTAATGTGACTTCTGCATGATTCTTTTTCATTTGATTGTAATCTTGTATCTTAGTACAATAATCGTGTATCTGTTGTTGCTTTAAGTCTTTTAATTTCACTTTCCAATGTGCTTTACATAAATCTATTCCCTCTCTCAACTGTTTTAGGTAATGAGTCTGTAAAATGTTGGTGATATTCCAAACACCGGTCTCATTGTTTTGATCTCTGATAAATAAGAATCTCAACAAGTTTAACGAAGTTATGATTTCATCCGATATCTCTACTAAATCCGATGAACTACCGTGTGACAAATTGCAAATCTTTTTCAACATCGATTCCATATTCTTTCCCAGAAAGTAAGAACTCTGTGGAGTCGAATCAAGACAAGCAATGATCGAAGATTTAAATATATTAATGATTAAGCTGAGTAGACCAGAATGCTCACTGGTTTCGTATAAATGCGAGATAACTGAATATCTAGCTTTCATGTCAAATATGTCGACATATTTTTGGAAAACGTTTACTGCTTTCTTTCGTTCCTTATCATTATCATAGTAAATCATTACTGTAATAAGTGGCTCAAACAAGTCCAAATATATCCCCAATCCTAACATTTCAGAATTTATGGAGCAAGGAGGAGTTTGCTTTACAACATATTCCATAAAAGTTAATCCGGTAGAAATTGAAATCTCCCTCTCGTCACAAAGCAGTACTTTGAAAAGATATCCGCACGTTTCAAAAATATAGTAAGGAGTGTAAACTTGCGGTACATTTTTCCAATGGTTTTTTTCAGTAATTATATGAAAATAAAAATGAGCATAAGCCAAATTAGATATATTATTACTGGATTCAAAGAGCATGATGCATTCATAATTTTTAGTATACACATCTTTATCGTGCGCTGCGTTGCGGATGATGTTTCTATAACGTTTGCTAACAATATCTAAAAAATATAATATATCTCCAGTAAGGCAAGATGCCAATGTTATTATATTCTTTGTAAGTACCTTGTACGATACTTTTTCAAAGCTACTCTTGCTCAAGTAGCAAAATGGTTTTCCATAAAAAGAAATGAGAAGACTTAAAAGATAATCCTCTAATAGAGATCTTTCTTCATGCTTAGAATTAATCTTTACTGCCTCTTTTACCAATGGTTCCAAGAATGATAAGATTTCTGTATATACTGTTATAATTCTGTTGTTAATTGCATCATCCCGATCAGGATCACCATTCGGAAAAGGCAAATCCTCAATATATGATTTGATGGTACTGACGCACCATTCAATAGCCTTTTCTTTGTCTTTCATTTTTATCATACATATGCGCAATGGGTTCAACATGGCACAAAATTTAATATCATTGTCCATGCATTCTATCTGTTCTAGAAAGTCAAGCACAGTCTCCATGGGGTTACATTTTTCCGCTATAGTGTTCAATATTGCCTTACAACATTCGAATCGTTCTGACTCATATTGTGCATTAAATTCTGTAAGATATTTAGCCGTGACAGATACAAGTTCGCTGGTAACGCTTCGGATTACTGCAATTCTTTCTTTTTCAAAAATTATCTGAGCTTCATCGCACATGCCTTCCTCTAGAAGATTGGCAAGACATTTGACAAATTCTTCAGCTGCTGTCATTTGCCTAGCAAAATAGATAAAACAAAAATATATGCATAAATATTTTATGTAGATAAAATTATTGTTCCTTAAAAATATTTCTTTATACATATATTTACATGTTTTATATCTTCTTGTTGTCTTCTGTCCAATTTTATGAACCTTTCGGCGAATACAGATTTTATCCTCGATAAAAGGACACCGAGCACGCTATATATACAACGAAACTTCCAAAACTGTTTTTGAGTGAGGTTAAGTCTTCGCGCAAGCACAGATAAATGTTCGTTGCTCGATACTTCGATGTAAAACGCTGTAATCACGTCCGTATTCTCGACGATATGAAGTAATGATAGTTTAACAATAAGATACAAAAAGAATTAATAAAGACTGACAAACGGTCAGTCTCAGGTTGGTCGGTCTTCAAAATTTCCACGTAGAAAAACAGGAAGACAAAGCGAGAATCGCTAACAACACGCTATAAGAAATGTAATATCAACACACCATTCCGTAGTACATTTGCTTACCGGTTGTTGAAAGTCTGCCCCATGCTGAGCGAAATGAATTGAGCATTGCCATTTCACCGGATGTTTCAACGGTAAAATTCTTCAAATATTTGAAAGACGTGCAAACATATTGTTCTTGTACTGGACTGAAATTTCACGATCAATATTCAGTCATTAAATTAACATTTTTTGCTGACAGTAATCATGTGCGTGTGCACCCAATCTCACTATCTTTTTGCTTATATTCGATCAGTTCTGAATAAAAGTACTATCTAGATATACTTAAATTATAACATCAGCTAAGTTTGGTATCTTTAAATCTTTGATATACGCAAGAGATTAAATATCAAATAAACAATATAAGATACAGGTTACATATGATATTAAATTAACCAAAAAATATATTTTTAATACAGTCATGATGCATGAATATCTAGATCTAAGTGTTTAAACCAAGAGTGAAATTCGCGATGCAAGGTGTATTGCAACGTAATTTGCAAAACAAATAATTCGCGTTTATATAAATTTTGAAATAAAAATAACGCTTATTTAAAATCGACGAGAGATATAGATTACATTTTTCGCCAAATAATAAAATAAAATAATAAATAAACCTAATAATTTATCCTGCTATTCTTGTATTTATAGTACATCGTTGATTGGTTGCATTCAGCTGCTTACCATCGAGACTAATGAACGCGCATTAATGTCAGAACCGTCTGCTAACTTTTTGTATGCTTGTGAGTTGTGCAGTTCTTTTCTAACCTCAAAGATTATTTTTGATGCTCACAAGAATTGAGAGAATTTACCATGTTTAACCATAAGAATAAAAAAATCACACGTTGAGAATTAAATTTATTGTTAAGTTTATATAAAAATGAGCGACTCGGAAGAAGAAAATTACGCGACATTCGGCGCTGCTCTTGATCCCTTGGACGAAGGTATGTAAGTAGCATAAATTATTGTATAAGTTTATACCATCTTGTATCACATATCAAAACTTTCAATTTTGCAGAGAATATTCCACGGAAAAAGCCTGTTACAATCGAAGAGCAATATGCTTATGACGCCCAAGGTAGACGTAGATTTCACGGGGCGTTTACAGGTGGTTTTTCAGCAGGATACTTTAATACCGTTGGCACTCGCGATGGCTGGAGACCGCAACAATTCAAATCTTCCAGAAGTAGTAAAGCGGATAATATTACTCAGCGACCAGAAGACTTTATGGATGAAGAAGACACAAGTCTGTTTGGAATTGCTCCCAAAGGAATTCGAGCTACTAGTGACTACGCTGATCACGGACAGAGAGGAAAGAAAAGAGAAAGGATAAATCAAGATAATAGTGGACCTATTCCTGGTACTCCTGTTTTAAAAGATCTTCTAAAACCTGCCAAGTTAGTACTTATTAAAACTAATAATGATATTCTTTAATTTCTATCCTTTTTCATCTTTTATGGTTAATGTCATGTTTTTAAGTTAGAAATGATTGGACAAAGCAATGCATTAATCATTTATTGTTTGTTTAATTTATATTCTATTTAGATGGGAAAAAGCTATATTAATTTATCACATTGATTAAATTTGCAGAGAGACAGTTGGTATTGTTCTACTCAAGAAAATGGGCTGGAAGCCTGGTCAGGGCGTGGGTTCTAGACTCACAAAGAGAGAAAAGCGAAAGATAAAGCAACGTAATGAAAGGTTACAATTAGGACAAGATAATCTTGAAATGGGAAGCAATTCTGAGGATTCGGATGACGAGTCCGCCAATATTACCTTTGCACCTGACGATTACGAGCCATTTAGATGCAAGCCAAAGGACAATTATTTCGGCATTGGTTATTCGGGTCTAGACAGGCGTACAATTCTTTCCAGTCACATCAATCTGTTCGATGCTCCAGCATTTTGCGTTCAAGATAAAAACAAAAAACTGTCGATTCATGGCCAGGCGTTTGGAGTCGGTGCATTTGAGGCAGATGACGAGGATATATACGAGAAAGAGGACATGTCACGTTACGATTTTGCCTTGGGTCCTGAGCGTAAGACGAAGACGAGATGGTCTCAAGAAGGCCCGAGTAGCTCGCAAACTGACCATTTGCAGGATTTCGCTCGCGCGAAGGACAGATTAGACAGCAAGAAGATCTTTAAGCCGCCCGAATTGCCAAAGGATTTCACGCCAGTACATATTGTTAGAAAAAGCAGATTTTATCCACCAATTGCGGCTCCAGTAGAAAGTAATAAACGTCGAGAGCCATTGAACGCCATAGATAGAGCACGGATTTTAGAAGACCCGGACGATCATTTGAAAAAACCGCAAGCGGCATCGAACACGTCCGTCGCCTCGAATATCATTACAAAAACGTTGAACTTACATGGTAAACAACAAACGGAAGAGAGAAAAAAATTGGAGAGTCAACGGACAACGGCGGGTAACTCATGGATGGATAAATTAAATGCGCAATACTTTGTCAAAGGGGGTGTTGTCGGTTCCGGACAGGACAACATGGATAATTTAAAAACGTTAGAGAATTTCAAAGAATCTTTGACATCTATGCAATCAAGTGTGGACAAATCGGAAAATTCCTCGAGTAAGAACGAAACGAAGAAATTATTTTTGTCCGACCCGGATAAACAAAGACGATTCGAGCAGTATCTCGTCTTCTTAAAGAACGATGAAAAGAATAAACTGGAAAGCATCCAACCGCTTTCCATGACCGACTGGGAAAGAGATCAGGAACGCGTAGAGTTTGAGCAAGCGGTAAAGCTCGAGCAATCAAATGATTATATGGCGGATAAGTTCATGCACAGTATAGATCACAGTACAGATAACACGACGGATCAACCGGATCCGGAAAAGGATGTAAAGGAAGCAGTGAAATTAAAGATGTTTGGTAAACTTACACGTGAGCGGCACGAATGGAAGCCGGCAAGTATCGTTTGTAAAAGATTTAATATTCCTGAGCCGAAAGTCGGCTGCGCTTCAGTTACGACGGATCGGAAATCGGCAAGATTCTCGGTGTTCGATTCCTTAGATTGGTGTGGCTCATCTAAGTTCACAAAAGCTACGGATACGGTTGAGACACAAGTGGACGAAGTTTCTCAATTGTCTAAAGAAATGGAAGAAAATGCAGACGAAACGATTTCCAATAACGATTCCAATAATATTTTATCTAATAATTATCAAGCTTTAGAGCCCGTTTCCGAGAAGTTTAAAATCTTTGAGGCTTCCTACGAAAAAGTTTTTGGCAAAGGCATTCAAATTGCTCCTCCCGCAGCGTTGAAAGACGTCAATGAAGATGCGAGGGATAATTTAGAAAATAAAGAAACTCAAGAAGTAGAAGACACGCAAGAAATCACCGCCGAACCGGTCACTGCACTTAAGGATCAATCAAAAGAGAAGAAGGATTTATTCAAGGCGATTTTTCTTAGCAGCAGCGAAGATTCCGAAAGTGAGTCGGATGAGAATGACGACAGCGAGGCGGTCAAGTCAGTATTGATCGGAAAAGATCCGAAGGAAATAAACGTACAGCGAAACACGTCACCGCCGCGAGGTATCTTCGCAAAACTGGATCTCGACAGTTTAGTGACGCAACCGAAACGTGTTAATGATGAAAGTAGAGTTTCTAAGATCCCAGGAACCACCTTGCCAGCGACCGATGGATCACAGAACGATGTTACGGATCACAATGATGTGATTAATGATACGGAGATGGCGATACCACCAGATATGTACGGTCCGGTTTTGCCGCAAAGGTTGTTAAAGCAGGAGAGCCTTGCGACAACGGCAGAAGCAGGTGACGCGAATCAATCCCTGAAACCAGTATTTCGCAGCGTCGTGGTGTCGAAAACTACAGACGATTCGAGACTTGGCGGAAAATGGGTAGAGCGAGACAAGACGAAAAAGTCGAAGAAAGAGAAGAAGAAGCATAAACATAAGGAGCATAAAAGTCCTAAACACAAGAAGAAATCTAAGAAAGAGAAACGCTCGAAACGCTGATGTTTGTTTATTTTATTCTTCAGTGATTTTCAGCGGCATAATATACATAAATCGACTTAGTCGCATGATCAAGATGCTTGTAAAATAATATAAATGTATATAAAGAAATTTTAGAAGAAACTCATGCTTGGCCAGAACTATTTCCGGTTTTTTTTTCATTTTACATTTGTCATTAATTATTTATGCACTTGTTTTCTGAAGCATTGTAATACATATAAAATATATTATATTTGAATTAATTTTTGTAGTTTTGAACATATTTAAATTCAGCAGATCTGTCATAAAGGTTTTGCTATCTGACGAGGTGATATGAGCAAACTTATAAACTTTAATTACAAGTTGTAGTGTCCGATAATTTCTATTACTGTCGTAATAAGATTTACAAATTTCAAATTATCGGACAATTAAAAAAAATCAGATAACAAAGTTTTTATCACAGGTTAAAATTAAAATACTTTGTATACAAGTATTGTTGACCGTGCAAAGTGCGATATTAATTGCTCACTTCAACGAGTGAAAGCCGATAGCGAAAACTTATCTAGTATGAACGGCTATTAAATCATTTCTTTGGGTATAATCAGAAATTTGTACATTATATTTTCCAATGATTGACTATTACACATAAGGATATGTTTTACACACACACGTGACCGTGCACGAGTCTTTTTTTTATTTGTGCGTTTGTGTGAAAAACTGCGTAAATTGAAATTAAATGGAGACTATTTAATACAATAGGATATTAAAACGATGAGGATATCGTAAAATTTACGGATTTGGATAAATCGATTATACGCTATCAACATACAAGAATACACGTACATATATGCATTGCTCTTTCTACTTTTTACGAAAAAATCTATAATTTTTTTTTATTTAACGCCAAGAATGTCTTCACACATAAAGTTGTACACATTTTTGGGGTATACTCGCGCGGACCGTACGCATCATATATAAATATTCGTGCATTCATTGGTTCATTTAATTAGGAAACTATATTCTTAATATTTTATTATTTATTTTTGAATATTTTATTATTTATTTTTAGATTTAAGTTTTTATATACATGAAACATTTACCGATATTAAAACACCAGACATGATTTCTAATGCACAAATATCTGGACGCTATTCATACGTCGCTGAGCATATTCCAATTGTACATAACTTCACGCGAAACGGCAATTCTGATGCCGAGCGTTGCGCATCATCCCGGTGCACAGTGTTTAAATACGAATTTGAGCAGTCTGCCTTATTATTGCAGTATTGTCGAATGTAATGCTGCACCCCCAGGAAATAATGTTTGTGACGACTAGTCAAAGTACATCAAATTGTCCTTAGCAAGATCGCACGTAGAAGATTGTTAATCCGATGTCATGGAGTTCCTCGAAGCAGGTCTGCTGGAACTATTCTTTTTGTCTAAGCTGAAAAGCATCGCAATATTAAAACGATGACACACCTTCATTAAAGTAAGTTATATCAATATATATATATATATATATATATACATTTATTTATTTAATTATAATATTTTTTTTATGACGTACCTGCTGCTTCTCGAACCTCTTTTGAACATGGCCGTTAACTTCTTCTTTAAATTCTTCTTTTCCATTTTACTGCTTTCGTTGATACTGGTTTCAGAACCAGATGTCTGTTAAATATTCAGTCATTTTAATAAATAATGTTTTATTCGAAAAAGAAAAATTTCGAATATCTAAATTTCTTCTTGCCTGAAGCGAGTAGTCAGTCATATTTGGGTCATCGACGCTGGATGATTTAGTTAATTTATGCGTTAATTTTCGTATTATCCCTTTGCCATATTTTTTGTCTCGATCTAACATTTCGCTCTTTGTCGATCCTCCGGAAAGACGGCTGTATAACAACATATAAGTATAATGTTATCAAATATTATTTAACAAATAATATATTTTTGCAATATTGCCGATATAATTCGACAAATATGTCGCATACCTGTCTACACTGGAATCTCTCTGTCGACTAGTTCCACGAGACTCGACTTCCGATCCTTCCAACGATTGCATGCTCGACAAATTGCTATCCGTGCCCCAAATCGCTGGAGACTGAATTGCATGCAAAAATTAATACGTGAATCAAGAATAAAATCTTAATTTTTAAATTTAAATATAATTAACCGTCACATTTTCAATTATATATGTAGTTACAATAAATTTTTGATATACAGAGATTTATTCAGATATAAAACTGTATTTAAAATCAAAATATACTTAGCGTAATTGTAAAATTACATTAATATGATAATTATATTTGCATGCAAAATTTATTTTGCAAAAAAGATATATAATTACCTCTTGACGCCCAGACGTTTGTTCCAAAGAAAGACTCTTTCTCTTTAAACGCGGTTTAGAGCGGTTCAATACTATTCCTTTTCCTGGATCGCTCTCTACTGATGTTGATCTAAATCACACGGTAACGATACATTTTTTACATTCTCAATAATTGAAGAAAGACTATACATCGCAAAACTCACCTTTTCCCCATTTTTTTCAAGCGCGTTGCATTCGTTTCGTCTGTCACTTTCTTCGATTCTTTAAGTTCCTTTGCTACATCCATTAATTTTTTAATAGTATATTCCAATTTCCCTGTTCTTTCCCCGAGTATTGGAGTTACAACTGCAAACCCGAATATAGATTTTAAAATAGCGAAATTAAACGATGTCAAATTTCAAGTTTGTCTTAAAAAAATCAAATTTATATTTAAGATAAATACCTTTCATCTCGCTCTTTGTTTCCAACATTGGCGACGATTCTCTTGATTTTGGTCCCTACAAATTTGTTAAAAAAGATTACAATTTTGAACTTTTTAATGTTATTATTGTACAATATTATCTCTATTAAAATAATATTATTTTATTCATGTTTTGTACCTTTAATCGTCTCGGCGGAGTTGGCGTAAATACCTCGGGTTTTCCATTTTCTGTTACACTATTTAATTCGGGGAAAAGTTGTAGCAAATCTTGAACTTGTTGCATAAGAATGTTGATGTTGCGTAACTCAGTTTGTTCTAATTTAGATTTATTCAATATCACTTCTTTAAGTTCCTGCCTCTCCTTTTCATGTCGCTCTTTTTCGCGTCTCATCTTCTCGTTGCTTGTTCTTAATTTTGCGTGCGCGTCCCTCAGTTCAAGTAAATCACATTGCAACTAGAATTGATTAATTATGATTAAGAAAATGAGACTTATTATCAATTTTAATGATTATGTTTTTAATGTATAATTGTTTAAGTTAGTGATGTATAATTTCAATTACTTCTAATAATTTCTTCTTATTTTCTTCCTTCTCTTCGTCGAATACTTTTTTCAACTGATCTTGTTTCCTTTTATTTTCAAGTCGCTCTTTGCTACGTTCTCGTTCTATCTGTAAATGTAACATTTATATAAGACATCATTATTGATTACATAATATTACTTAACATGTATTAAATTATTAATACCTCGAATAGTGTTTGTCGTAAATCTCGCGCTAGCGTTGCCGTTTCCTGTAGCAATCTTTGATGGTCTTCTCTTTCCTTTTGCCAAGCTAACTCCATTCGCACTTTTAATCCTGGAATTTTCGAGCGTCCGCTGGTGAGCAATCGTTCTTCCTCCAACTATAATAAATGAATATATTTTTTATAAAAAAGTTTTTAAAATTTATCACTCGTATCGAATCGATTTAACTTTGAAATACCTCATTAATTCGAGATTGCAATTCGGAGACTTTAACGTGGCTAGCTGATTTTTCCGAAACCAATTCGGCCTTTAGCCTAGAAGCTTCGAGCCTTGTTTCAGAAAGTTCATCTTCCATACAACTTATTTGTTTCTCTAGTATTAGCACATTGGCTTTCGACGTTTCTTCATCCTACGTGTAGAGGAAAATATATTTTCGTAATATTTTAGATATAATAATTGATATACTAATTCGATCGATATTATTTTAATAAAATGTAAAAAGTTACAAAAAATTGTATATAAAAGAAAATATTAGAATTAAAAATTGTCCATAATTTTATTAAAATAATAACGCCAGTGCTCCTTCCGACGTTAAATTACATCATTAACTACCAACCTCGTCCGACTTTCCGGAGGATGCATTAGAAAGTCTACCTTGTCTCGTGGACTTTAACTCGCCTATAGTTTTTTGCGCGCCTTCCAGCATGTGCTTGTAAGTATCACGTTCTCGTTTGTATCGCGATAATTGATTCTGAATAGCCTGGATCTCGTCGTTGATCGCCGTGATCCTGTGCTCGTAGCGCATCTTACACTGCGCTAAGTCTGTCTTCTTGGCTTTTTCTGTATTTGTCAGAGTATTCTTCAATTTCTGAATTTCCGACTCCAATGCTGTAGTATCGGGCGTCAATACTTGATGAATTTTGGAAACTGCTTCGTAATCTTTCAATTTTGTAGATAGATCGTCATTCTATAAATTGCAGAGGCAAATAGACAACCGATTAAATTAATACAAGCGATAAAAATGAATTTTTTTTACGTAGAATAAAACTGAATAATAAATGCTTACCACTTTCTTTGTATCTTCTACTCTCTCCAGTAAAGTAGCATTCTCTTTCTTTAATGTGTTAATTTCATCATTTAATTCCATTACAATAACTTTATTCGGTAATTGACTATCGCGAACTTGGGCCTGCAATCAAGATCCGAAGAAATAATACTGTCTTTTCAAATAAAGATTCGTAATATTACAACAGATATTAAAAGCTAAAACATGATAAAATTTACACACCTCAAGAACAGACTTCTCCAATCGCCATTCGTTCTCTTTTGTTCTCATCGAGTTACGAAGACTTTCAACCTCCGCTTGAATATTTTTTACGTCTTTTTTATACTCTGAACACTTGCTATAATAAAACGTAAGATTAAATGAAGATATTTTACATGAAGCATTTAGTATTGTTGGCAGTGAATTCTTACTCCTTACACCGTTAGTGTCGAATTGCTGTTTACCTATTCAGAGATTCATTTTCCCTTTCGAGCTGTAGCTTTGAATTCGTAAGCTCTTGATATCTTTTTGTTAAAGTCTCTTGCTCTTGCTGATGTTTTTTAATATCGTTCTCGAGATCTGAAAATTTTATTACCTCCGTGATAAAAGTTTAAAGGATTAGTTCGGATTAGCAGCTGAAACAACAAATTAATTAAATTAATACGTTTCTTCCAATTCATGATACTTTACTTAGAATTTTCTCATTGTAAGTTTGCTTCATTTCGTTTATGCGTTTTGTATTTTGTCCAGCTTTCTCCAAGGAAGTTATTTTCTTCTTGAGATCCTCTACTTCCGTTTCTTTCGCCTCTCTTTCACTATTAAGTTGTGACGTCAGTTTATCGCTTTCTCGCTTTAGTTCCGCAAGCTCTGTTGTTAGATTTGTGATCTTTGTTGATGTAGTAGACTTCGTACTTTCCAATTCTTTCTTCAAACGTTTTATTTCAGCATCGAGCTTGGCTTTTGTCTGTTCAGCCTGTTTCAATCAAAGAAAAAGATAAATAATATATTATTAATAAATTATTAACATAGATTGCAATTAAAAATTTAATAAACTATGAATTATCGAGTATTAAAATACTCACAGTTGTTATCGATTGCGATATTTTCGATTCTCTTTCTGTGTGCGATGACAAATCATCTTGCAGCTTTTTACACTTTTCTTGCTCTTGCGATAGTTTTTCTTTTAATTCGTTTATTACGACCTCCATATTAGCGGTATCTTTCTCCGACAGTTTAGCCGTTTCTGTATTTCAACAAAAATCGTGTTATGTAGGTTATACAATAATTTTTGCAAATGAGGTATGCACAATAAATATTCAAGACTTATCAAACCGACGAGATTAATTGTATGATAAAATTAAAAATAAAATTCAAATTTTACCGAGATCTTTCTTTAGTTGTACAACTTCGTTATAAACTTTTAATTTTTCGGCTGACAGCGATAGAAGTTTAGATTTTAATTTCTCCTTTTCTTCTAGAAGCGCTAGTTTCTCTTTATCCCACGCTTTTCTTTCCATTTCACGTAAATTGACTGCTTCTTCCAACTTTTTCTTTACTGTAAAATTGAGAAATTAAATATATTTAATTATTTTATTTTTATATAATGTTAAATTAATAGATACCATTTTGTAAATCTGTATTTTTGGTATCGTCCACTTTTACACTTGGTTGAACTTTTTTCTTTTCTCTTTCGCTGGCCAATTCCTTTACAGCAGACTCAAGTTTTTCTTTAAGTTGTTCGTGTTCCTTTAAAAGTTTGTCGTACTTTAAATTATTCTCTTTTGCTTTTACATCAGGTATATCCACATTATGTCCATTTTTAATGTTGGTAAAGATACTCAGCATGTCCTCTGAAATGTTAATTGATTAACATAAGGAGTTCAACTTTTAATAAAATTAATAAAAGTTAAAAGTAATAAAATTTAATAGTTAAAACAAACCTATCTCTTTTTCCACTTCGTCAACCATCTTTTTCAGTTGCACTTTTGTCGTGGAATCTGTTGGTTTCTTTTGTGTTCTATCTTGGAATGCGCTGCTAACTTTTTGCAGAATCTCTTCTGTTTTCTTTACCTAAATTAAATGTAGCTTTATAAGACAACAATCAGCAATGATCGAATGACACGCTGTTCTTTTGATAAAAAATTAATTAATTTTTATTTATTATTGCCATCTGTGTATTATATATTTACCTCTTCGTACTTCTTCTCCAAAGCGGATCGTTCGGTTTCTAATTCTTCAGTTTTGCGTTCTACTTTTCTCAGTTTGAACGATAATATTCGGCAATTTTTGTTCGATTGCTCCAAACTTTTTCGTAAACGGGTATATTCGTCTGCCTGTTCGTCCCTTATATGCGAAAATTATATTTAATGGTAAACAACACATTTGAGATGTGATACATTTTTACTATATTTCATGTTTAAGTATCTCTGTTCCTTAAAGAAGTGAGAGAAATTTTATAACTAGAAAATTTGAGAGGAAAGGAGCCATTTTATATTTTCAAAGAAATTATTAAATCTTGCGAAATTTTGACGTAAGACGTAATTCTCTTATAATTCTTTCCGCTTATAATATCTTCTCTTGTAGAATATTCGCAAAAAAGAAATGTGATCCCAGAAAAGTAAAAAAATAATCAAAAATTGGTGAACTTTTAAATGAGTTTAATTACCAAAGATATCCCTACGGTTCCGTATTTGGTGAAAAGCGAGGGTGCCGTCGTGTTGGGATCACATACGTCTCAATTCCGTCCAAATCGTCGTCCTGCAACAATTCATATAGCTCATTTTGTAAAAAAATTTTGATCTCTTTTTTTTTGAAGCACATCTTTTCATGTTGATATATGAATTTTCAGGTTTTTTACATTAAATTGCTCGATTTCGTAATATGAGTCGTTTCTCGTTTTTTTACCATTGAATTGCGTTTTTTTACCATTGAGCGGAGGCCTTGAATAAGTATCTTGGACATGAAATGTCTGTTCGCAATTCAAATGTAGTAATAATCTTTATTAAAAAGGAACAGAGATACCGCGATATTGATAAACATGTAACATACATAGTTAAAGAACATTATTTAACAAAATTATTTACTTTACAAATACTCACATTTGTGCGAGCCTTATAATTAGCAGTAGTCCAAGTAAAAAACATCTCAAATATATTAGTTCCATAATTAAAATTTTATAGTATTGATATATATAAATTTTCGCTGTTATTAATAATTATTTTAAAAGCCATTTTTACTAAACTAATTTATTACATCTTAAAACGGTGTATTAGATGAAATAACATACAAAATGATGTATGTTATTAATTTTATTAGCTACATAATACTATATACATAGTATGAATACCATATATTGTAAATCTCTGGAAAAATCCAACAAAGCATGCGTAACAAATCAAAGCAAAATGCGAGTAGAATACATGGTATTCTTCAGCGTGCACGAAAATATAGTACCTAAAATTATCCTGCAACTCATAGATCTCTTCTTCTAATTGCCTAATTTCCTTTTTCATATCTTCGTTTTCGTCCATTAAATTTTCGCAAAGGCTTTCCGCGGCCTTCAATTTCGAACGTAAGTCGTCGTGCAGTTTGTCCCTGTCGCCTCTAAACGGTTTAACACTTGTTTCTTTTTCTAAACTTTTTATCTTTGCCAGCAATATGTTTTTCTCTTGCGCAAGTGCTGAAACGCGAGCGTGATATTAATTCATATTGCTAAACCAACAATAACACATTCTGGACAGCGCAGTGATTAATAAAAAATCTAATACAATAGTTTATAGATAATTTCTATAAAACATTTTTATTAGATTTTCTATTATCTTGAAAAAGATACCTTCATTTTTCTTTTGTAATTTTGCTACTTCCCCTGTCGATGTTTTGTTCGACATCGTCTCCATAGTCGCCAATCGACGCAGCAATATCTCACTCTTTTCCTTCTCTGCCTTCTCGCATCTTGCTCTCATATCGTTTAATTGAGACTTCAATTTTATTATCTCGTTCTACGAGGAATACGTGTCGCGTTATTTTTATACGCTTAATCATGTTTAATTCTCTCACCTCTGACATTCATGAATAATTCACAAGTACATAAACACTTTGATCATAAAGAGAATGTTGCGTTTGTATTGCACTGATATGTGCAATTTCTTTTGTAATGCAACGTGTCAGATCTGAGAGGATTAAATACATCAAATATACATATATTATATTTTATCATATAGATAAATATCGTAATTTTTTCTTAAACTTTTCTTTGTAGATTATGCGGACGTAACTGTGATTATATAGTCAACGCTTGATCGAGTTAATTAACATTTAAATGAAGTAGTGCATTTAGTGAACGTTTTGACAGTATCGCAAGTGCTTCGTAATTCACGATAAAACATGGTGAGAAAAATGTATGTACACAAGTGCATACAGTGTGATACGATAGGCAACATGTAATTATTATTCGTCGCAAGAATCTTCGTGTACGTCAAAGTAATGAAAGCGACGATACGTCGTCTTACCTCCTCGGTCTCCTCTGCCTTTACCGTCACATTATCCAGCCCATCCTCGACCACCCGTTTCGACGGTGCTGGCCGTGATTTCCTTACCTAAAGTAGTGTAATAAAATGAGAGCGCAAAATGATGTTTTTTTCACATTTGCTCACTCTTATCATTGAACGCCACTACGCTACCGCCTGCTGTATAATTAATTGTAAGTCGGTGTAAAGAGCACTTACATAGAAAAAATGGTTACAAGCATGTATATGTGTTTTATGGCGACAAAGAAAGCATTCCATGCATTAGTGGAGTAAGCAACGAAAAAAATACCTGAATTATAAACTCCACGTCGTTTTCCGAAGCACTTCCGTTAGTGTTGCTTATCACATTTTTTATTTGAAGTTTTGCCGGTCTTCTAACGTCTGCGGATAACACATAAATTTGTATAATTATAATTGTAAAATTTAATATTGTATATATATATATTTAATATTAATTTTATTGCTATCAATATTCCGATTTTATTACTTTCTAATTTAGCAGCTTCTTCTGGAGCCTTATCTATGGCGGAGAGATCCATTAAAGATGTCCATCCAGTCGTCGTTGCTGGTTGTGGATAATTATTCTTGGTTTCATTTTTCGCTAAGTTTGTAGCGGAAGACCAGACTCTTTTGCTCTCGGAGCCACTTTAAAATATATTTACGAAAAAAATATCACTTGACAATGCAGCTTTATTTTGTTCAATTTTAATCTATTTATACGAACTATAAATCATATTGCCATCATATTTTTGATAAAGTACACGTTAATTGTCATTATTTGTGATAATACAAATTTTTAATGATAATTTACTTTACAAAATCTCAGAGAGAAAATTAATTTTGTTACAATACAATATTTTATTATGTAAAAATGCACAAGTGTCCATATTTTACCCAGCAGGCTAAAATATTTCAATTATGTTTGCAAGATTAATTTTGCTTTTGCAAGAAATAAGACATTAGTGCTAACATTAAAACTAAAAATTCTTTTGTGGAAACAATTGTGTACATTCAAGCAGATGTTCTGGAAAGATAACTTTTTCTCCTCTCTGAAATTCAATTTATTGATTTTTGATCGAAGAAGACTCGTTAAAGTTTCGATAAATAAACTATCATTATCTTATCTTTGTAGGTGATGTCGTTGAATACAAAAGATTAAAGAGATCGAATATTTGAGATTCCGAGAAACGCACTGACAACAAATGCACGTTATGTAACAATGGACATTTTGTCCAATTCATGACGACAGAACCTACCGCGTCGATAAATCCGACGAAAGACTAGGAGACGAAGACGTGATGTCTCCAAGACTGTTTCTTCTCCCTCCATGCTCTTTGTAGTCCCTGAGGAACAATCGCCAATTCGAAATATGCATTTTTTTTATTATCTTAGCATTTGCTTTCGAAAACAATTACCTGAAACATCGTTTGCAACGCGTTGGCCACCGAACCTGTGGGTGGAAACCCAAAGGGCAAAGAGGATCGCCCTTCTTAGATGAATACGCGGAGTGCATCCTGCGTTTTTTTCAATTGTTTTCTTATATTATCTGTACTCGAAATGGAACAAGTATATATTTATTTGCAAGTAAAATAGTTTGTCTAATAAATAAAATAACGTTTATATTAGGTTTTAAATTTTTTAAACGTGCAGATAACACATATGTTTCTGATAATATTAATATATAAATTATATATTATATATTGTTTAATATATAAGGATTCGTATATATCAAAAACATTTCTATTCAATAAATAAAATATTTATATAAAAGTAAAGCATTGTTATAGCTTGAAACATTTTTAAGATCGCAATCGCAGAAACACTTTTATCTGTAACTTATTCATGTATCTTTTAACTGTATTACATGGCATTGTTGATACAGTAATAAGAATAATTTGTTAAAAAGCAAAAGAATGGAACGCTTAGATGGAAAAACTTATGTGCCAAATTCTTAAATACAAAAGTTTTCTAGAAGAAAGAACTAGTTTTATTAAATTAACATCAATAAGTTATTGCATAAGTCGTCTTTTTTTCGCATATCTATTGAGTAAATTTAAAAAACTGGTAAATTTAAAAAGGCACACAATTTATAAGGAAGAATTTCATATATTGCACATCATCCTTTTGTCGGCATCCACCAACGCCAATATTAATTTCTTGATTCTTAACGTAACAGATATTAAAACCAAATATAATTAAAGTTCAACGCAAAGATTATTTTTGCATCTATAAAGTCGAAATCTAAAATTAGCAAATTTATATTTTAAATTTCTGTTTAATGAATGATAATCTTGATTTACAAAAAATATTATAGTATTACAGTTGTAAGTGCAAAAAAGAAGGAAATCACGCTTGGTATAAAAATGTGTGAAAAATTAAAGTTAATTAGTGAATTCCTTGCCAGCGAACATTCGCAAGAACGAAAGATCGAAAGAGAAGCTACATATTGTAGCTTCACATATTTCTGACAATTCGCGCATATACACACACATATGCGAGCATGGCACTTAAAGAACCATGCGCACCGGCGGTTTATTTATAAAATTTCAATGCCACGTTATCGTTTCTCTTTAAATCTTTAACTATGTAAAATTGGAACGGGAAGAATGAAAGGGAAGCACGCTCAATCGCATTCCCTCGTTTTCCCCGATTGCGATCAATCGACGAGCGATTTATTTCTTATGCAATCAATCGCTTCGGATGCACAACGATGTACTACTCACTCGAGCGGCGCCGATATTTAACCCAAATACAGCGGGCCGACGTGAATTAAATTTATCCTAGACTGTGCCGGTCGGCCGATCAAAAACGGGCACTCGTCGTCGGAGTATCTTCCATCCCGGATGTGCACGGTAATCGCATCGCAATCGCGTAATCGAACGACAAGCGCATCGTAAGTGGATATAGTCTCTCGCAATCTCGCACTCTCCTCGGGGGGGAAAGTTTTCGCCTCTATCCGCGAATCTTATGCATCTTTTTTCTCTCGCATCCACGTTCGATTTCTACGTCGCGCGCGACGTCACTAATAGCACTGACACAGCTCCACTATTACGGGGTTTGTCCGTTTCCCGTAGCCGAACTAACTGTGCGCGGATACACGGGCGATTGGACCTACGCCAAGGTGTATATTTATCTCTAGCTATAAATATAGAGAAGAGCGCGAAGTATACACGTAAAACCGAAAACCGTGCGTGTATGCGTGTGTTCACGCGACTCTGCACGGCGAGATTTTCTCTATTCCGTTTTACGCCTTAATTACACGAGCGGAAGCAACACGCCGCGATTGAACTTGGAAGCCAGCGGAGTTTTCGTTATTTTAAGTCTGCATGAGAAAGCAGCGTGTCGCGATGAAATTTGCGATAAGAAATTGCGGAAACCGATTTTTCTTTCGTTTTATTATTATCTCGAAAATGATGATTCAATGTTAAAGTGCATTTTAACGGTGCATTACAGTGAATCTTCCTCTTGATTTCTTGTATCTCTTGTATTGTGAGCGCTCTATGGCACTTGATCAATTTTGTATTTGTGTGAATTGCTTCGTGTGTCTGAAAGTATCAATGAATTTATCATTAAACGGTTTTTCGATAACAGGAACATATTTGCTTCGTCATTCTTTTGATATTTCTTAATACATTAATCATCGTCTGTTTTTGCACAGCTAACAAAATTAGAATAACTAATTTTTATAGTATAAAATTAGAATAAAATTAGAATAATTATAATTAAAGTAACTAATAAGATAATATAATAAGAGAAAATATATATTATCATGATTATATTCGCTAATTTTGCGATAACTGAATAATTATATTAAAATGTAAATATTTGGAGAAAAGATTACATACGCGAGCTGAAATAGATCAAATAAATACTCGCAAGGAATTACGGAGAACGCGAGAAATATATTTCTTATAAAGAGTGGAGATAATTATAAGACAGAAAAGGATTTATAAAAAAAAACGAATTATCTTTATCAGCTTTTATTTTAAAACACATTTCACCCTTCTCCATTATATGATACAAAATCGTATATACGTAGCATGTTATGTATTCATAAATTTATACATTTTTTACGATAAAAGAATGTTTCATTTGCAAATCTCTTTCTAATCGTTTAGAAAAGAAATAATTTAGCATATACGAAACATAGAGATTTAAAACGATTTAATATAGTTAAAACCTTACACATAAGGTTCATTAAATTTAATTTTTGCTAAAAGAAAATTTTTGGTTCGAAAATTTTAATGATATTTTTACTTATGTTTATATTGCAATCTTATTTTCGTATACACAAATCATACTTATAAAAAATACTAGATTAAAATCTTATTTAACCCCTGTTTTCCTCCAAACTCATGCATTTATATAAAAAGATGTATGAAAAAGTATATTCTATATTTATAGAAAACATCCGTATTCTATATATTTATTTTAACCATGGAATACGTAATGAAAAGTGAAATATCTTCTGAAATGAAAAATAATCCTGATAAACAAATAGCAACGAAAAACAAAAACAGAATTTACAATGCGTTTATTGTATCTTGATTGAAAATAATTCTCAGAATTCTCGCACTCTGATAACTGCGTTCTTCTTGCTGTTCATATTATTATTGTATATTTATTAAAAGCATCCTTTGATAGAGTTTATATTTGATTTTAAAATATACTTTTTAAATCATTTTCCATAACTTTTTTATGCATTTTGTAAAAACCAAAATAAAAATTTTGGTAAACTTGTAATATATACATCAAAGTACTGTTGTTTCAAATGTGGTCATTAGTTAACAAAAATAATAAAAGTAAAAAGAGCACGAATTTTATGCTCGAAATTTCACTTTTCACACAAAATCTCTTAAAAAATCACCCTATTTAAAATTAAAAATAATGAATACAAATACAATTCGCTCATATTGCTTATCATGCATTTGTATAATTGCTTAATATATTAGCGTATAATGCACCTTAGACAGTGACAATGCAATTATACTTGTTGCAACAATATATGGCTGGTTTAACATAAAAAAAAAAATAAACAATTTATAATAGAACAAGTTGTAGAATATAAAAAGTAACGAATATAAACTCATTGCCTCGAGACATAAAAATGCTAATAAAATATCAACAATGTGCGGTTAATTAGATGCATTAATTGAAGATCTCGATCCAATTAGTTTTGCAACATTTTATTACTATTTACCACAGCTAAAAGATGAGCTATTGATATAAAATGGCTTTATGTTTCTATATTTAGAAGTATAGATGGATATTAGGCCATTCAAAGTGTTCATCATTTGTTCCATTTATATCGCAAAATTATTGATTTTGTTAATAAAGGACCTATATTTTATACAAATTACTTTCTTCATCTCATTCTACGCAATCTTCGCGTCTGCGAAAATTGATTTTTGATTGAGCAAATCTGGAAAATTTATACTTGTAAATTTACATAAATTTCACAATTCATTCTTCTGATTTTATATATAAGTATATATCAACGCGAGAGACCTACACTTTGGAAATATACTACCTGAGATAAGAATATTAATTTGGAAAATCTTTTGTACACCTGTGTTCTAAGAATTATCCCAAAGCGCATCGAAACTATCACATGCGAATATCATGCATAATCCGTATAATACAAACTGTATTACTAACATTATAAAAAATAAACTTTCTGTATCATCAATATATACAAGAATGATTTCATCGTCTATTTATTCCGGCTAAAGCTTATATCTTGTAGCTTTATCGAGAATTCAAGTTTAACATGCTAAATTACATGCAAATATAAAACTGCCATCGACACTTTTTGAACGGAAAAAAAAGAAAATAAGAAAACGCACGAGAAAACACGAAGACTTGCTTTGCTTCTATTTTCAAAAAGATATTTTTACAGTTATTTAAAATCCCTTGCTTTCGAAAATCATTACCACATTGCTCGATTGTGCGTTATTTTTGCAAGATTCGAATCTCTCAGGTATCTTATAGCCTTGAGCGAAGCAGCTCGATCTTCTTAGCGGCACGTCTCTGCAGATCGGGCAATTTCATAGCAAGTCCCATGTTTCCTTGAATTTTAACCTTCCCTTGGAAGAAAGCTTTCTGCGGATTCAATTTCCCAGAAACAAAGTCTTCGATGTCAGTGTCGCTGATCGTAAATGTAACATCGGGCTTAGTCTTGCTATTGTACTCGACTTTTCCTTTGCCCGTTTTGGCGTCTACGATCCAGTATCCTTCGGCACCGCCGGGCCCGTTCGTAACTTTAAATCCGTAAATGCCCCGCACTTTATCGATTAGACCGTCCTCATCTTCGTCCATCGCGATGGCAAGTGTATTGAACAGCAGATTAGCTCTGAAGATGCTCGGATCAGCGGCAACATTTACTTTTCTCTTAATCACCGCCTGTTTCGGGAAGCCCAACCGATACAGAGCTACTACTACCGCACCACCCAGCCCTATGTTGTGCTGCAGCGCCAGTTTCGCGCCTTGTACCTGTCTCTTGCCCGCTTCGCCGCGAAGTTGCCAACAAAGTTCGGAGCATTGCGCTAGTCCCGTGGCGCCCAAAGGATGGCCCTTCGAGATCAGACCGCCGCTAGGATTCACCACGTACTTGCCACCATAGGTGTTGTTTCCAGAGTCTACCAGCTTGCCGCCGTGACCAGGTGCGCAGAGTCCCAGAGCTTCGTAAGTGATCAACTCGTTCACAGAGAAGCAGTCGTGCAGTTCCACCACATCCACGTCACTCGGCTTGTAGTTGGTCGATGAAAAGACTTTCTCGGCTGCGTTTCTTGTCATCTCATATCTGTAAAATATCATGATCAAATTAGTAAACAATTATGATAAAGTTTAACTGTATAATAAAGTATAATAGTTTCAATTTTTCATACCCAACAAGATTCATGCACGATTGAGCGGTAAATGTTGTAGATTGATCAGTGGTCATTTCCATAGCTACAATTTCGACAGCTTGTGGCTCCAAGTGATGCTTCCGAACAAATTCCTCGTTAGCCAGAACGACAGCTGCTGAACCATCAGATGTGGGACAGCATTGGAGCTTTGTCAGGGGTCCGAATACTTTTGGAGAATTCTTTATTTGTTCCAAAGAGTACTTCTCTTGAAATTGAGAATACGGATTGTTAGTGGAATGCAAGTGGTTTTTATATGCAATCTTCGCAAAGTGTTCCGGCCTTGTGCCGTATTTCTTCATATGTTCGATTCCAGCATTACCAAACATTTGAGCGGTAATAGGACCCTCAGAAATGCCTGCAACCAGACATAAAATTAATTATATATCGTATCATCCTATATTTTAGTACTCCGTCACTTACCTGCAATGTCAGCCATGATCTCAACATGTTTTTCCATAGGATTTGTACGATCCATATATTTTGACGTCAGAGATCCAGGCTCCATTTTTTCAAATCCAAGTGCCAGAACGCAATTCGCATTGCCACTTTCAACAATTTGTTTGGCGAGATAAAGAGCGGTGGATCCAGTGGAGCAATTGTTGTTGACATTGTAAATAGGACATCCGCTAAGCCCGACTTCGTAGACCGCCCTTTGGCCGGAAGTGGAATCACCGTAGACATATCCGACGCAAACAGCTCCCACAGTGTTGTAGGGTACGTGCGCGTCCTGTAGAGCCTTGATCACTGCTTCCTTCGCCATTTGCGGATAATCAAAGTCTTCTCTCCGGCCGGGCTTCTCGAACTTTGTCATTCCAACGCCGATCACGTATACCTTCGGTTTGTAGACCATCTTGACAGCTGTTTCGACCTATTCGTTGAAATGCACACGAAGCACAGGGAATTTCTGGTGAATGTGAAACGTACAAACGGAGACGTCACTCGACTTCTTTACGTATACCAGATGGAGAAATCGCTAAATGTCGTAAGAGCGCAAAACAAATAAAAAAGTGACGACGCACGTAACGATGTTATCGCGAGACTGCCAATTTTGCTAGTCACCGAGAGACAAACTGGTCGTTGGACTTTAATCTTCTATATGATACAATAAAAGAATCAAGTACCACACGATGACAACACTACTTCCAACTGCTATTAACTGCTTACCACTGCTTACTGCTCCCTGCTCCGATAAGCAACAGTTATATACGCCTATACGCCCCGGCGCAATCCGCGGTCAAATAATAGCCTAGATCGGACACCTCCGATAAGAAGTTTTACCGTACGAAGCGCAAGGCGCGAACAATATATTAGAAAATTGAATAGCTAACAATATTGATATATTTTTCCATGATATAAATTAGTACTTTACAGTAATATTTGAATTATTATTTTGCGAAAAACATGAATATTGCATTTTTTGATATGATAAAAGAAGATTATTTGAATATATAAATTTATAATTTTATACCCATTTATTTTAAACTTAATACTCGATTTTTTATTTATTTTATGCAAAAGAATAAATGTATGCGCGATAAGTTTATAACTATAAATATATAATAAAATTTATCATGCAATAATTTAAAAAAGCTTTAAAAGCTTTAAGTATAAATTTTCCGTGTTTTATTTTTTCTTTTACTAAAACGTCTGTATATATAACCTATTTTTATTAATGTAAATTAATGTAAATATAAAGGTAAATGTTAAATGTAAATGTAAGAATAAACGGACTTTTAAAGAATCACGTAATAATGGCCTAGTTTACACCGATTGTTTAGTACGTGTACCAAGTACTAAATCTGCTTCTTCGATAGGTATAAATTGTTTAGTGTAAAATCTACACCAATCAAAGAAGCAGATTTAATGCTTGGTACGCGTACCAAATACTAAATCTGCTTCTCCGATAGGTATAAATCGTTTAGTGTAAAATCTACACCAATCAAAAAAGCTGATTCAGTACTTGGTACGCGTACTAAACAATCAGTGTAAACTAAGCCAATCCATGGGTAAAATGTAGTTTTTGGGAATTTTGTTAAGTTATATTCAGGTTTGTTCACGCCGCATGCCCCAACATGCTTCTATTCGCTCCGATATGCTCTAATCTATAGTATACGTGACGTAATACTATAGATTGCATATTAAGGCATGCAACGTGAACAAACCTTTTGTCCCTAGAAGATAAATTTTCTTATTGGATGTGAAATGACAATGTGAATCTGCCATTATTTTAGCGCAGTTCTTCAAGATGTTTACGCCGCTGAATGTACCGCCATCAGCGCCGCAAGAGTCGCACTGACTATTGCGGTTGTGTTTTTGATAGTTTTGACCAACCGAAAAGATGGCGGATTCTTGTTTTCAACATTGCTCGCGGTTTCGGGGCATCGAAACACTGCAACGGTTTTAATATAATCTCGTGCATAAGTTAACATGTTGCACGCGCATTAACTACAACCGCAACAGACTGCCGCTGTGACAGTTCGCGTGTGTGGTTGCGTCGTTGCAACGTTTGTCGATCGTCTTGGCGTCATTAGAACGAACTGCCGAACGAAGCGTGCTTACGCACGATTTTGAGTTGAGTGTTGTCTGTGCAATTCTAACGAAGTTTCGTGAATTTATTGAAAGATCAGAGTGAGAATACAATCGAATCGGTAAAATGGTCGCGCGACACCGTAGGTTTATCTAACCCCAATTGTGTTTACTGCAGCGACTTGTAGTAGCGCGATTTGGTTAGGTTGCTCGGGTCAGCTCTGTATACTTATGATACCGGAACGCCGTCGCGCGTGTACCTCGCGGTGGTTCACGTTACAATGTGATGCACTATCAAGTTTGTGAATTAATGATCATTGAGTAACACGTTCACAATGGCGAGCAACGATTTTGATATGGAGTTCTTTGAGCAGAAGCTCCTTACACTGAAGGACTCTCAGGAGTCCATACAAGCGCTATCTACATGGTGCCTAGAGAGAAGACAGCATCACAAGAAGATTGTTGCTACATGGCTGCAAGTCCTGAGGAAAGGTAAACTCTCTGAATTATAAACTTTTTGTTATTTCTCTAGACACATGTATGCTTTTGTCAAGAATAATAAATTTGTTGTTAATGTATATCAGATTGCACAATTTATAATTTTATTATCTTAAATGCAATTTTAATTTTGAAATATATAACTTATAAATGCTTATATACATATATATATATGTAGATATATACATATACATATATGTAAAAAATATGTATTTGTTTTTTTATACAATAGTAAAAGTGGAACATCGACTCACATTGTTCTACTTGGCGAATGATGTTATTCAATACTCAAAACGGAAAAATTCAGAGTTTGTGGAATCATGGGGCATTACTCTGCAACGTGCAACAACCATGGTTCGTGATGAGAAAGTGAAGCATCGTATACTGAGAATCTTTAAGATCTGGGATCAGCGGCAAATTTACAGTGAAGAATTTCTTACTGATTTGTCTGGTTTAATTTCGGCTGCACCAAAAAAGAGATTAGATCCTCAGCCAGCTACACAACCCGATGAATTTCAGGCAGCTCTACTGATCTCTACAATGAGATCTTGTGCGACTTTAGAACAAGCGACTGATGCTAGGTTACGAGATCTACGAGAAAGTAATGTAGATATAGAATCTGCAGAAGAATTATGCGCGTCATTAAAGGACAGAAGACGGGTGGAGGATGCGGAGAAGGAGATTGATTTGGTCGTAGAAAATGTCGAAAATTATGTTTATTCGTTAGAGGCAGAGATTAGAGAAAGGACGCAAGTGATTGATTTGTTGGAGCAGGCAGATCAGTTTTATGAAACTCAACGCGGAGAAGTTAAAATAGTGACAAATGTAAGTGTTAGAGCACGATTTTTTTAAAGCACGATTAAATATTATTGATTTTTTTATGCTACGGTATGTGTTTTTTGTGAACAGGCATACCGGAATTTTGGTAGCCGTGTGAAAAATTTGAAGAAGAAGTTAGATGAATTATTACCGACGTTTGTCTCGCCGATACCATCACCAGATGTGAACGCACCCTCACCGAGTCCCGACAGTGATATAGAACTTCCAGGAGATGAAACTCAAGCAACGAATAATCAATCAGCAGTAATTGATGTAGCACCGCCGTCTCTGTATGGTTCATACCCTCACGAATATGAGCCAATGCCAGTACCTGTACCTGTGCCTAACTTGGTACAAGGCAACGAATCAGCAGACTTTACTAATAATTTCTCCTCTTTCATGGGAGGAAACATGGATTTTGGTAATATGGTGAGATAAAACAATAGTTACATATGTATTGTTTCATAAAGTACAGAGTTTGTCAACTTTATGCTGTTATAAACACATCTGATTGCATATTGTTTTCTTCATTTAGAGAAATTTGTTCAATGAAAGATCAGCAACACCTCCTGGAATGTCTCAACAATATAATGAATCTTTAGAGGTAATTATTTAGTATAATAAAAGTGTGAGTTATAAATTTTATTGTATAAAAAAACAATTCTTTCTTTATTCCTAGGCAAAACCGATAGAAGTGATCAATATGAGACCCTCAAAGAATGAAAACAATAACGCGGATTTCAATATATCTAGTTTCTTGAAAACGGTTCTTCCGACAGCCGACGGAACGCCAGATCAGGGTGGAATACCGGGTTTGGGCTTGGATGTTTCTGAAAATCAAGTGGGATCGCCGCAACATCCAAACTATAGGCATTCGCCCACGTTAGGGCAGCTTCCTGTAACGCCTGTGATGTCTAGAATGATGAATAGCCAGGGTGCACCCATCGGCGGCTTAAATAATTGCCAGATGAGTCACAGTACTCCGTTGCCAGTTCGCAATCTGTCCGCTGAATCACACACACCTTCTCCGTATTCCAGTCAAAATAGTCAGAGTAATATGACCGGTCCGTTTGACGGTCCCGCAAACGCCAATACGGTGAATCCTTTACCTCCTCCGCCTTTACCGCCGCCAATCTTTCTCGATGACGAGAATTGTTACAACAAGCTACCGCCAAAATTTCCCACATGGACCCCACCAAACGAGACTATGAAGGAGTCTGCCAAATGGGACGATAAGGGTATAATGTTTTGCAAATTTTATCGTAATACATCTTATCGGATTTCTTATTCCCATATGATTAATCTTTGTTGTTCGATATAGCGAATTTCGCTATATGTTCAGGGAAGAACAGTATGAATCCCGCGTGGTCCGGCGAATGCGACGATAAGAACAAGGGCTCGTGGATGGACGGCGATGGGGACAGGTGGGACTCCAATAACGATCCCACGTGGCCCAGCGGTGGCAGAACGAAAAGCGAAATGCTGTCCGAGACGCCTGAATCGCCACCTATGTACGAAAAAGCCGGCTTTGCCGAGCCGGTGGAGTACAACGAGCCGCAACCGCAGGAAGCTCTAAATGCTACAGGAGACGTGGATCACAGGTGATTATTCGGTCAATCGGGCTTTTGTTGTCCTCATTTTTTAGTTTGATACTTATCTTACATTTTATAATTATCGGCCAGGTATGTTTTACACTCACTATATATGTATATTTTTTCATGACTGATCGTTGACAAAGTATATATCATTTATATAGAGTTATTCCGATTCCGATGACTGTCGAGAATCAGTTGCCATATCGTTTGATGAAAGCGGCGGACGTCGATCATCGCAATCTCATCAGTCTGACAGGTAGTCCGGCGAATCACAGCAATCTCGGTGATTCGTCTTTGTCTTTGCCCAATAACAACAATCTCTGGTCTACGGGCGATCAAGATTATCGGTGAGCCTCGTTTCTGAAAAGCAGTATAATGTTATTTTTTATATAACTTATATTTATTTTTAGAAATTATGATTTATATTTATATAATTTTTTTATAATTTAGACGACATGTACAACCGGGTGACATTGTTGAAAGCGTTGATATGGAGATGTCGGACGATGAATCGGATAGCAAACCGAAGGGTAGAGTACTTGTCGACGTGAGGTCGCAGGATCGCGATATGCGCATCGGTGCCCCATCCGGTCCCTCGTCTTCTCATTTAGACATGGACATGCGCATAATTCCACTTCCTTCCGTACAATTGCCTCGCGGTGGCGTGCAAGATATGCGCTTGATGCATTCGGGACCGCCGCCGCCGCCGCTGCCGCCGTTTCAGCGCCAAGATCAGGGTGGCTTCCGGCAGGAACAGCCGGAATTTTCCCATCGCAAGTCGGTAGATTTTCGCCCGAGTCAACTGAACTTCCGACAGAACAGACCGCCGTCGAATTTTATGCCGAATCAACAGGACTTTCATCCGAATCAACAAGAATTTCATCAGCTTCATCAGTTCCAGCAGGATTTTCACCAGCTGCAGCAGCAGCAGCAGCAGCAGCAGCAGCAACAGCAACAGCAGCAGCAGCAGCAGCAGGATTTCGAGTATCGCGACAGAGAACACGGTATCCGGCCTAAGCAGGATTTTCTGACGGACTCGCCGGGACGCAGGTACTCGCAATCCTCAGATCATCAGCATCAACGCGATAGTTCGTCTTTTCACAGAAACGAGCGAAACAACCGCTGCGGCGGCCGTGGGTTCACGAGGAACCGCAGAGACAGATACTCGGACGATCACAATATGAAGCAGCGAAATCTAGCAAATAACCGGAAATCGAGGTCGCAGGATCAGCAGCATCATCAGTCGCCGCCGGAAATCTTGTCCAACAGTCGGCCGTTGCTGCAGCCACCCGACACTGTTATTATCCTCGATGAAAAGGGCATGCCGATCGGCATGCCAGACTTCGATCAGGACAACAACGTGCCGCCCAACATCGCGGAGCCTCAGGAGCACGATTCCGAGAATTGTCAGGGTTCCGCGATGCCGCAGGCACGCCGAACGTCGCACGATTCCGAGCGCAACCAGTTGCAGCAGGATTATCCACTGGGCCCTGATCACGAGCAGCGTGCGCCGTCGACCGGGTCGGACGATCAGCCGCTAATGAATCAAGTGACGGTTATTCCAATAACGGCGGATAATGCCGGCGACGATGCGCAACAGCAAAACCAGTACGTTCCTATTTCAGAATACGAGGAGCACGTAGAGTCTGAGCAATCCGATCTCGCGGAGAAGACGAACACGGCCGACAACAGCGAGCCGATCGATCAGGGACAAGAGACGAGTTTCACGGAGGACGAACAATTGGACGAGTCGACCGCGTCGGGTAACGAGCTGAAGAAGCTGTCGGCGAACGGCAACTTCGACGAGCAGAGCCACGAGGAGGGAAGCTCCAGCAAGAAGAGGGCCCTCTTGCCGAACGGACCGCATCCATCGCTCACCGACGCGCCCGGTCCGAACGGTCCGCTGCTGCACGGCGCGTCCATGACGGAGCCCCATCCCATCATGATGAACGAGTACGACGGGCCGAACTTCCGGCCGCGTATCGGCACACCTTTCCCTCCGTGGCGCGGCGGACCCCCACCCAGCAGAGGGGGTAGAGGGGGGTTCAGAGGTGGACCACCGCCGCGTGGACCGTGGATGGACAGGGGACCGCCGCGCGGACCCGCAGCCGGCAACTTTTCGCCGAGAGGATTGAAACGGGGCGGCGGACAGTTCCGGGGCGGCGGTGGTTTCAGAGGCCGGGGACGAGGCAGTAATTGGTAGATAAAGCGCAAAAAAAGACTCGACGACTTATCTGCTTGTCGTAATCCGATTGGAAACATTGCGACACGTGTTTCACATCTTGTAAATAAAAGAACTACCACGTTTAGCGTGCATATACACGTACACTTACACACACACGCACGCACACATACGCGCGCGCGCGCAGACACACACACACACACACACACAATGAAATCTTCCGTAACGAAGGTTCTTCACACTTCTCTGTGCGATTCAATATCGCCCATATAAATATATAAATAAGAAAAGTTTAGAGATATATATATATATATATATATACATATATATATACGCATATATATATTACATGTTTCGTTAAGATGTTATCGGAGCGGCTTCGCATTCGTAAACACACGTGTGTGTGTGCACGTATCGAATTCTATAGTGATTAGGAACGATGAGTTGGAGCGCGATACGTTGCTCGCGGTCGCTCCGATAATGACCAACCATCACCATCCTCGTAGATTTCCGTGTAAGAAAAAAAATTATTGTTTACGTGCGCCAAGGAAGGATTGTAATAATAAATTCGGTGAACGAAGCGACTCGTGGAGAGCCATTTCAGCTGTTTAGCGAGCGAGGTGGAACACTCGCAGACAACGACTATGAATTCATCATGGTTCATTGATTGAAACCGGTATAATTTTGCTACGTTCAATCTTCCGTGCTGCAAGTACCACGTATCTGATCTCCTCATGCTTGTTACACACCGAAAATTGAGTTCGTCAAAGTTGTATTAGTTTCAATTTTCAACCGATAGCGAGATTATGTGCTTTCGACTCGATCGCCGCAAATCCATTCCACGGGTCTTGTATTGTTTCCCTTCCTCATTCACCTCTGAACACAGAAATCATAACCGCTTGTTTTCTCTGCCCTCAGCCTACCTGACTATTTTCATTGAAGTTCGTTGAAAGGAAAGGAAAAATTAAGAAATAGGGATGTCAATGAACTTTTTAAAGTGTATTAATAAAATACAGTGTTTACGTTCTGGTCCGCTTGCTACATTTTCCTTATTGTTATTTCTCGTATGTAGTGCGTAGATAAATGTTTCTTGATAAATCATAAGACGTTCTCGTTTATTAAAGAAAGATGAAAACGGCAATAAATAATAAGTCACGGAGAAACAGCTTAGATCATCATTTTCATTTTGTTCTGTGTTGTGAGAATCCATAGATCATTTCGTGTGTAAAATGTTAAAATTCGAGAGATAAGCTATCGATGTAAGGTGCTCTTGTAATAGTTACTATTTTTTTTCTGTAGCCGGAAAAGAAAGTGAATGTAAAGCGAGTGAAGCTACGACGAAACGATATGCTTGCTTCGTTAGGCATTCACACAGTATCGTTTATTCTCTTGCAATTGTTTGCCCATTTGGGTCGTGTGTCTTTTTTTTTTTGGCGAATGGACACTGCAAATGAATAAATCGCGAATTTCGATCTCTTATTTTAGAAATTCGATGAAAAGTAATTAATTTTAGTTTTATCGTGTTGATCGGTGTGTTAATTTTTCTTTTGTTTCCTCAAGAACTAGTCAATTTTATATTACGTTTTGTCGAAAGCAAGCGAATCGTTGCGATGTATACATCAATGAATGCGCACAGGAAACAAGTGTAGCGAACGCAAAAAAACACCGTGGAATTCTCTGGTTGTTTAATAAAATAATACCGAGGACCTTTCTCTCCAGCACTCTCAAGTTGATCGACGAAACCGTATTCCCGTTCTCGATGCATTTTTTCCGCCATTTTACCGACGTGCAATCATTCGCGACTCGTAAATGTATTATCACGATTGCTGTGAGAACGCTTCATCGCACACTCGATGGCGCATATATTTATTCCAATCGCACTTTCTTTTTCTTTCTTCCATTTTTTAACCGCAATCTCTACACGCGAATGACGCAGACATTGTGTATGCATTTTTATTTCTCAGCTTTGATTTTCTTCCGCACGGAAGAAAATAGGGCATCGTTTGATTTGTCGATCCATTTTGTCACTCATCATCCGTTTATTTTTTTCCGATCCGACGATGATGAAAATTAGGGCATGGTTTGTCAATCGAATAAAATAAAATTATTTTGAGCACGCGCATTACTAAAACTTAGTCCTCTATAAAGAGGATCGAGCAGAATGAGCGCGGGGAAACACGTAGAGTATGCGTGGAATATGGGATCCACTATGATTTAATAAATACGGTGCATTCATTTGGAAAAAATTTTTAACATCTTGCATCTATTGTATATTATGTTATAACATTATCAAGCAAAATAGTATACAATTTTCTGGCATATTTAGAAATTATATTCAATACAGGCTATCCCAAAGGAGTGTAAATAAATAGGATTTTATTCTAGTGATATGTATATAATTTTTTTACGTTTTTTTTTCTTTGCAATTTCTAAATAAATGTAAACGTTGCACGAAAATATTAATAAGTGACAAATTTTATTTTTCTAATTATTATATATTTGAAATTAGCCAAAGGTATGCAATCGATTCGTAAACTCGAATTAAATAATTATTAATTGACAATTATCATAAATAAGTGAACGAATAATTCTGTTAATAGCTTAAATACTTTGACATAAAAAAAAAATTTCTATAAATGTTAAAATGTTAACGGCTAAACACTTGCTTCAATGATTGTAATAAATAATTCATTTTGGATTGAAAATAATGTTTAATGGAGTGTTTTAATAAATCGGGTACTTCTGAAGTGTATATTAGCAGAATCTTACATCTTCAATAATTATTGTCCGCTTAAAAAAATTTTTTTTATAAAATATATCTGATCTAAATTATAGAATGCTTTGTTAATCACAAAAATTGTAATAAAAGATAAACTTGCAACTAAATCGATTTTCCGTTCTAGAAACAAATTAAAAGGTACTTAAATTATCTAACATTCAATTTATACTTATTCTATTCATTTACCAAATTCAAGCTTGAACAAAAATCTGAATTCTTTTTAAAAACTATTACTAACATACATCACATTTGAGACAGCCTGTACATTCGCGCAACGTACTGCGCTTTTTCTTCCAAAAGTTACAATTTGCATCTGAATCGAAAAAATTACGGTAATAAAACTGTTTTTTTTTTTCTCTTCATTTTTATTATCGTGATTATGCAATTTGTGTGAATTTGAAAGGAGAATTATAATTAGAAGTGCCTTTTTCATTAAAGCAAATTTTAATCTTGCATTTTTTGTGGCAATGTAACGTATTCTATATATACTTTGTAACTTTCTAACGACAATATCACTGTCTTTATGTGTCGTTGCGCAGATATTGGAGCTGCGCGACGACATGTAACGTTAAAGACATCGTGTAAAGTTACAAAATAGACAAACAGATGCATGATGAAATTGCAAATTCTGTTGTAGTTTAATTTCATCAGTCAAACTTACTCGAGTCGAAAGATGGGAAAATAAAAGAACGAGCGAAAGAGCGAGGGTTGTAGAGAGCGAGAGAGAAGGGATGACTGAAAGAGGAGGGGCAAGATAATCGATCTGAAGTTCTATTAATAAGCGAGCCTCGGTTGTCCCAGCGAACTGTGTTGTACATGAAATTAATATTTAATTATTTAATTTTAAAATAATGTTAACGGTTTTATATAGTAATATAAAACGAATACTGCATACTGTGTATGCGAAAAAGTTTTGTACATTGCCTAATAAAAAAATTGATCTTTACTATAATAATTTCGTTATCGATTTCATTTACTGTCCTACGTTAATAAATATTAATGATATGTCGATGTTAACTATTAGTAAAAATATTGGATAAAAAATTATACTATTTAACTTATGATAGTTCGAAAACTCGACTTTTGATATTTAATTATTAGTTAAATTAAATTGATAAGGTAATTGATTTTTTAAAATTTTTTAAATAATAATTTTCAAGAAACTTTCAAAAAGGTCTGCAAATTGTATTAAAATTTTGTCAATACTTTAACATTGTTAGAATCAGCTTAAATATATATAAGCATGTGACAAGAGATTGTGCGATCCAAAAGTTCAAGGAGGGTCATGTGATTCGATAAATAAAAATAGACAAGTGTACAGTAATAAATATTTTATTTAAATCGTTGGATTTAATCACATTAGTCAACTATTGATATTTAAAAAATATATACAAAAGATATTTACAAACAAACAATTGAACGATCGCTTTACTGCATTTGATACAAAAATAAACGCGTCGTTACGTTTCTTCCTCAGAATTCCAATTTTCTATTTTACGACACGTTGTAGCAATCGTAAAAATAACGGAGTTGCGCAACACTCAGGAAAATACGCAAACGCAAAGAAAAGCGACGTTCTCTCACATTTGCGCGTGGAAGTTTCGCGACGCGCATTTACGAATTGACGGACAACATCCTCAAATCGATTTCAGATCCGTCGCAGATTTGCTTCAATCGCGAAGCGGGGAATAAAATTTTTTTCGTTATACAATTTTATTGCGATATGCTGTCATTTATACAATCGATAGATTACGCATATATTAAATTTTTTAATTATATTCTATTTCGGTTCTATCGTTATGCTTTTGGTCGATCAAATACGAATAAAATCAATGAGTAAGATTTCTTCTCAGTATCACTTTTCTCATATAGCAAAATATATGGTTCCAAGGATGTCCGCTTAATGTATCCTTAAAGATCTTTGGACGGTTAGCTTTAATCTATAATACGATGTAGCGCATATATCTGCAATGATTAATTATCCATTCATTAGTTTGATGATTGTAATGGGATATTTTTTAGAATACATGTGGATGTCCTTGGAATGTCTCTTAAACCTCTTCAATATTTTATTGGAATTTCCTTCGCGTTACTATGGCGTATTGCAAAAAATGAAACATATTTTTTTCTTGTTTCAAGACTGATGTGAAAAATATCTGTCACATACTTTTAACAAGCTCTAATTTTGTATGAATAAAACTGTTTAATTGTATTGATTGTATTTCTTTCCTTTTGGAAGGAAAAATTCTAAATATTTTTAGATTTTTATATGGAAATATACTATTCAGGATGAATTTTTGAGAAGTGCTGTTAAAAGTTTTACCAAAATTTTAATTAAAAGTTTTAGTAAACTTTTAATATCACTCGGATGCCCTATAATATTTTTCGACGCTCTGAGCAAACCAGGATATCGTAGAAATATCCTATATTAGAGCGAACTGGTCCAATAATTATATTGCCATTAGTCTTTTGCACACAAAGCAACTGTATATCTCTTTCATGCATTGTCCAATAAAACACTTCTGTGTGTAGTAAAATTATCGTCGCTTTAGTTGTGCATGTTATATATAATGTGTTTTTGTTTCTTTTGATTAGCAGCGTGATATGGCGATAACGGTATGTGAGCCGCGGAAAATAACGTCGTTATCGCGCTCTCTCGAGTATAACCTAAATCATTTGAGGTATATTCTTTTACGTTATTTTATTTCGTTATCTCGTGCTTCGCGTTCTTTGGTCTCTCGCACTTTCTTTGGTTTCTCCTGCTCGCTTAAACATTACAGGATGTCATTCGTAAGCCGTTTCTTATGTTCAAATCACGCCGACATGGCTTTGCATCGACTCTATTTAATATTAATCTCTATTTAATATTGAGATACATGTATCACATTGAATATCATATATAAATTTTCATGTACACAAATATTATGAGACATTTTACGTGTCGTTATAAATTTCAATAGTGATCCATTTATTGCTTAAAACCTCATTTGTCGGTGACGGTGATTATCTTTTTCTAAGTGCAGAATAATATTCGGTGTATGAAACAATTAGATGTAATTATCATCTACATTTCAGGATAACTCTAGAAATTTTTCATTATTACAGTTTTCAATTATCAATTTATGATATACCTCACAGGATCTCACTTTATATAATCTTTTATCATTGAAATCTTTTTAATTAGTTAGACACACGTATCAATGCAACAAGTATGATAAGAGAAAACGGCTTGCGGCAACACCCTGCATAGACGATTTATCGACCGGGAGATACACGGCTTAATCATTATAATTACGTCGAATCATCGTTCGTCCTTTGTCACAAACTAGTGCTTTCCTCTTCCGTAGAATCCGCTCTTTCCAGCACTCCCTGCTCGTCGACGCCCACGAAGTATGTCGTGACCTCTCCCTTTGGCTTGACGTACGTCTCGCCGCGTAGATGACACTTGACATCTTGCTGTTCCAACACGGCAGCCGTATCTGCTGTTACCTAAGCCGAACGCAGATGCGGTTTGTACAATCCATTTCATTGCGTGAGTTTATATGTTTAAATTTTCGTCAGAATGTTACTTGTATTTTGCCTGGTAACCCGGTGGTGTCCATCCGAGATGCCATGTTCACTGCGTCGCCCCAAATATCGTAGAGCGGCTTTTGAGCTCCTACGACGCCGGCCGTTACTTCTCCGTGAGAGATTCCGATTCTTAATCTGCAAAATTGTATGAAATTTCAATTTTGGTTATTAATAATTTCTCGGAGCTCCGTTCAAGCTCGCAACACTGTCCTTGAATCTTGGCGTTCGTTGGAGCTTCTTTACAATTTCGCGCTCCTTGCGTGCCTGGAATCACTCACTTGTAAGGTTTCGATGTGGTGAAAGATCTGGCATTCATTTTGTCGAGTACCGACATCATTTGTACGGCAAATTGCGCCATCACCTTGACCACATTGTCGCTGTAACTCTCGTCGCTCTCGCTGCTATGCGTGGAATCGCGTCGGCTCGCTTCCAATCCGCAGGCTGCCATGTACGTTGTTCCTAAACGAAAATTATGATAAATAAATGTTATATTCTCTCGTAGATATTACGCTACTGCGTTTATAAAATTTACTAAACTAATTTTCGAAATAATTAAACAAAATATATCAATTTGTAATGTCGTATTAATTTGTCGTATTAATCTGCTTTAAAATCACTTTTTATATCAATTAAATAAAGAAACTCTCAACGTTGTCTAGAATCAATTCGTAAATATTAATCATTTTTTATAAAATTATTGATTTAATCCTCACCGGCAATCTTTATCTTCTCTATACGACATACAAAGCAGGGTTCGAAGAGTAGTTTGTCGAATTCGCAAATGATCTCGTTCAGATCGATCAAGATGTTACTCTCATCGATTGATAGTTCTGTCAGAGAGGCGAACATCACGGCGACATTGCTGTGCGCTTCATGATAAGGTTCATTTTCTTCGGTTCGGTTCATGTTCAAGTAAAACTCCGCTATAATCATGCAAATTGCGAAATAAGTCTCGTGTAATGATTATTCTCAGATTACCAAGTCTTATATTATATTTCAAGTAGGGATACCGAATCTATGGCACGCGAGGAAATTTTGTTGGCACGTACAAGATTTGTTGTATGAAATCAATATTTTTATTTTTTAAAATCATCTAATTAAAAGTAATATTTATAAATGTAACAGTTTAAAAAATTTGAATAAAAATTGAAATTATGAATGCATTACCAATATTGTTAAAAATAATACTGTTCTTAATTTGTTAAAAATTTTTTTTTTTTTTAATATTGTTGGCACGCCATCTATGTATATTTTTTAATTTTTTGGCATAAAAAGGTTCGCCATTCCTGATTTCAAGTATTACGTTACATTGCGAAATTTAATCTTGCTACATTTTTAATTCCAATTTTCTTGACTGCTACAGGTATCCTCGTCGCGCGTTAATCGATAGATTGAGAATTGTAAAAATGCATAAAATATTTATGGAAACATACCAACGTGTTCCGGCAAAATATTACGCAGTAGAAGCTTGTTGGCGTTTCTCGTGTGAAATGCTTCGTCCTGCTCCTTCGTCAGCTGACGTTTCCATTGGTAATCCAATCTACTCAAGTACCCTGCCTAAACGAATATTCGTAACTCGTTAATAGAACGGCAACAGAAGAATTTCACGCGAATACAATTTCACCGACTCACCTGTCGATCGATAAGATGTAAAGAAAACGTGAGAAACACCACGCACAATATATGCGCTATTCTTGAGTCTAAGTGAGGATTCCACGTTTCGCTTGGCTGAAAGCACATAAAAATTTTATTTTCTGCCATTGATTATTTTAGCGAATAATCGTGTAAATATAGTGAGATATTGTGTGGCGACGCTTTCTAATTAATTAACTTTATAATGAGGGAAAAAAGGTGCGCAAGAATACCTGAAATATATTAGATCGATATTCCCAAACGTTCCAAGCGTAAAAAGCTACCACGCAAACGCCTATCACAAATTTGAAAGCGTAGTGGATTCTCAGGAAGAGGAAGCTCGTGATGATCGCTAACGAGCAGGTTTCCGTCATTTGCTGCGAAAGGAAAACCGGCGACTTACAGAAATGTCGAAACCACTGAGACTGATAAGCTTGATGTCAATGAGAGAATCTACACTGTGTACCTACTAAATAATCTTACCCAAGGTGTTGCTATGCATCCTAAGTTGAGCGCGTCGATTTCCGACATACTGATTACTAGGCTGTTATTTCTTGAATCCGTGTTCTTACATTCAAACTGAAAAAAGTTGCAGTTCTTTAATTGCATTGGAAGACGAAAGTTCGACGTGCAAAAGTAAAACAAAAATTTCTATCTTCTAATTTACAACGAATAAATTATTATCAACGATAATTTTCAGGGGAAGAGAGTTAATTTTGCGGAATCTAATTTTTGCACGCGGATGTAAATAAAATATCGCCGACGGCGAAGGATTAATCAGAAAAAATTCTTACAAGCATATCGAAGGTGGCGCATGCCGCCAGCATTATCGTGATCACCAGGTACAAGATCGTTCTCAGAAGAGCGCTCCACACAACCTGCGTCGGATTAAGATATCAAAGAGTAAATAGATAAATATCGCAGCATAAAAATATATCGCGGCGTGTAATAAGTATTAAGCAACAGCACGTTCACCTTCACGCTTGTCTGGTAGAAAAAATAGAGCAGTTTGTTTCGCGGTTGCGGAACGTGTCCTTCGTGCTCATCGTGCGGGTCCTTGCAGCGGTTCCACATGTAGTGCATCCACGTGAGAGGTATCAATGCTATTAGAAACATCATTGCCGATGAATAGCCGACGATTGTGCTCAGATTCCATCTAAAAATTTAATGACTTTTGCACTCTCGTCGAATTAACACTTGCTATTTAACTATTGCAGACATGTATTTGCGATGCGACATACTGGGAGAGCATAACCATGGGTACGAGACACATCGTTCCCATAAAGATTAACACGAACACTGAGCAACCTATGTAAAACTTGAAAAGAGGATCCGGTTCGCGTAAAAATGGAATCTCCCAGTTCCATTCTCGAAATGTCAGAAAAAGTGGATTTATGTGCTCCCATTTACACCATTGTCTACGAAAGAGACAGAGTATAGTTTTACAAGTTTATCATTTTTTATTACGAAAAATTAATTAAATCAACAAGTATTATTTCAACAATTAAATTTTTGAGAAATCAAGAATCAATTCTACAGACAGGAAAATAAGAACTTGAAATAAATGAAAGAAAGAGACATCAAACTTGGAGTATACTCACTCCCATTTGCTGAGCGGCATCTGGTTAATAGCGTTCTCCATCTCGGCGTCGGCCGCTTTCAGCATCAGATGATAGTCCCGCAGACAAGAATCCATGAAGTGTGTTCTCCGTCTGTAAGTGGTCGCGAAAACATCCGCCTGACTGTTCACCGTCAGTTTTGTCCTGGAGATGGTACTCATGGCGGTATTGGAACGCCCGTTGCAAAATTTGACGTAATGCTTGTTGGACAACGAGTATGACAGTTGCGGCGAGTCCGAATTAACTTTCAAAATGTTCTCGCTGTTCTGCAACAAAGTTCGCCTGTCAACAATGCGAAACACTTAAGAGGAGTTGATTCGATTGGAGGACAATCGAGAACCAGTGGCGTAAGAGTGTTTATTCGATATTAGACGTGTGTTTTTGTATCACAAAGAAGCTATGAAGCACACAGTTTGACATGCAAGTGACAAATATGTAGAAACATTCAAGGATTTATTAAGAGTTTCTCGTGAATGCAGATCAATAACTGGATCTACGGATTTTCATAACGTAATATTTATAGGCATAAATTTGGAAAAGTATATAACGTTAAATACGAGTTATAATTTTCCTGCGCCACTGGGAGACACGCACCGCGACGGCGACGGCGTCAGCGTCGTTTCCGGCAAGGACGGGGTGATGAGATAGCTGCGTATCCCGTATTTTCGCAGGACCTCGTCGTCCAGCCTTTCGACCGGAACGCAATTGTAGTCGCTAGCGTTCACTAGATCGAGTGTTTGCTGGGTCACGTGAACCTTGCCGGGTTTTCCCGTCTGCTCCATTTTATTTGCTATCACCACGTCGCGCGACCAAACGTCATACTGCCACTTGTTCGTGCCTAAGATTCCGGATATTATGTTGCCCGAGTGCACGCCGATCCTCATGTTAACATCCACACCGCTTTCGCGATAGACTCGTGCTCTTACCTCGTTGATAATTCTTATCATGTCGAGGCCTATGAATTGTAATCAAAGTGAAATTAAGTCACAGATTCTTTTAATTTCTAAATTGTGCGATAAATATTTGAAAATATTTTAATAATAATGATTAATATAATATACTGAAAAAGCGCTTACAGATATAATACGTAAGTGTATTTTATAAACACTTTAAAACTATCTACTCAATTTATGCATAAAAAAATCATTAAATCTCTCAATTCTAATTTTAAATTCTTAAAAATTTCAAATTTTGAATTTTTACCGTTACATTAGTTTACAATTATTTTTTCGTTTGTTGTTTCTCACAGTTTTTGCATTTATAAATTTTTACCAATTAATTACATGTAATCGAATGCAAAAATAAACTGTCACTCACCAAGATCGACGCAGCTCTTGGCGTGTTGCGAATTCGGCGTGGGCACGCCGCTTACGCAATAGTAGCAATCGCCCAAAAATTTGATTCTCAGTACATTGTGCCTCTCCGAAGCTTCGTCAAAACTGCCGAATAGATCATTCAAGGTCTCCACGAGTTTTCGGATCGGTAATGTTATGGTCAGTCCGGAGAAATTCACCACGTCCGCGTACAAGATGCTCACGTTGTTGTGGGTCTCCACACATAAATCGCTGAAAGATGATAAATTAATAAGCATTTGAACAATCGCTTTTTTGTGAGATATCTCGAAATACCGTTTGTCGTAAAAATACCTGTGCGGCCTGCCTTTCGGCGGAGGGCTTTTCTTGTGCTCTTCTATGAACTTGAAGATGTCCCTGAAGTCTTTTTTTATCCTTGCTACTATATGTTGCGGCAAAATACTGCGCGTTAATTGCTCCTGGAAATATTAACAATTATTGTGAACTATAGAACTCAACCATTCGATCAATTAGATCGTCAGATCTAGTTTTAATGCATTGGATTTTTCAATTTTTGCATCTGTCCTTGTATTTGTCAAATTTTTATATTTTTCGATATTTACAAACCTTTCAGACTTTATTCATGCAAAATATACAGTTTCTTTAAAGGAAAAAACATCGTTTTTCAACTTACTTCTTGATCCTTCTCGTAATTGAGCCTGAGCGTGGATTCGACGCATTTTCGACGATCTAGAAAGGAGCGCCTGATAACGACCTCGTTCATAAATCTAAAGTAGAGCCCCAGACAGTTCACGCACGCGAAGTATAACGCGTCGGTGAGGATCTGCGATTGGACAAAAAGGAGAGAAAAACATGTCGTTCCGTTTTCTCGTTCAATTTCAGGCGATTGCATCGCCGCACCGGCACCGAAGGGCTTACCTTGGTAATGCAGTCGGACGTGTTGTTGTAGGTGACTAGCCACAGGGTCGCCAGGTAACATGTGGTGGCAGTAAAGCCGAGTACAAAAGCGTGTGAATTCTTCGTGATCGGTAGAAACACGTAGCACGCTAGGAGAGCGTGCGTCGCGTATGCCGGTCTGGAAAAAAAAAAGGAGAAATAGATGCTGCTGCATATGCACACCATATATGGCACGGGAGTGACTTCGACTTCACAAATGTATGATTATTAATGGAAATTGGAAGAGCTAAAACGCAATCGCACTCGTCACATGGCACGTCTCAAGCTAAATGAGAAAAAAAATGCGACCGCGCGAGGCGATTAGTAGAAACTGTAAAAAGCGCGCGCCTGTACGTGCATTAAGAATGAATTTCAATCTTTATGCAACGCTTATTATACGGTAAAAAAGTGTTGTAACTGCCTTGCGTTGAAAAGCGTTCAGTTAACGACAAATTATACTTCAAATCAAGTCGCTTCTTAGAAATGTTTTTCTTTTTTTATAAATACCTTATCCATTGTACAATAGCGACGCTCTGGTTTACTATCGCGAATTTTTAGCATCTTAGCAATCCATTAGCGTATCACGATTGCGCGAAAGATCATTTAGTATCCGACTGTGCATTAGAGATTGAAAATTGCGCGAATAAAGATTAAAATTTAAACAATCGGATGATCCCAATCTTGACCAGCTTTGTCCCGATTGGCCGAATTCCAATCTTCCATTCGCAATCCTCAATTTCCGATGAGTCTGATTACGCGACGGACACGTGACGTAACACTTGGCTAGAAAAATATTTTACTTCGATTGGCAATTGTTATTGTTTGCGGCGTGCACCGATGCAGATAAATTTATCAGTATTATCAATGAATTGCAATATCAATCACTTTCCTCGCGTTATACCGCGTGGATAAAAGTGTTCATCGTTATCGCTGATGAATATTTACGCGTTTCGCCACGTAATTATCGCGAAATAAATTGTTTGTTAAATAAACATTCGCTACTGGGAAAGCGCTTAGTAAATTCGACGAAGGTTAGCAATAATAATCAGACACGCGGCCTCGCGGTTATTCATTCGTTTTCCGGTGAAGTTATCAGTACCTTATCGACGGTATATTCTCGTAGGCGAAGGTGTAATACAGAGGTATGGCCACGTCACCAATGACCAGAAGGATAACGATCAGCCAGGATAGCATAATTGGCAAATAGGTGTTTCTGGCAATGATCTTCGATTTGAACGACAGAGCGATCATAGGACACAGCAAAGCGCCCACGGTGCAATAAGCCACGATATCCCTCCAGCATTCCTTCATTTTGACCTTAAATTAAAAAGGGAGAGCTAATTTAATCATTCTATTATCAACGTCCCTTCCTTGTAATCTTTTCAAAATTAGCAACTGAACAATTATCCTTATAAAATATAAACTAAGGAATTTAATACTTTAAGATCTCTCGTCTGAGAAAAGAAACTCGTCAAAGATAGCTAATTATAATTATACTTTATCTCATCAAATTTGTATTGAAAAAAAAATCTTACATATAAATTAGCTTTGATGGAAAGAATTTTTTGTATTTTAATCTAATCCTGACAAAGCACTCACTGAAGTTAAACACATCTTGTTACATAAAATGGAATATTGTGTAAATATCCTTGATAAATAAATGATGAGCTTACCACTGCAATCAGAGTGAAGCAATATGTAAGTCCGAGCAACAATTGCAGCAAAATGAATATCGAGAGATAACCATATTGTAGCCTCCTCTGATAGATCGTGTACAGCTTTTCCAAGTTCTTATATTTGAATTGTTTCTAAAAGCAAAGGCTTGTAGTCAAATCGATGAATTACGATAGATAAACGCAATATTTTACATATTCGAGACGTAAAAAAGTTTTTATTGTGATAAAATTATACATATAATCGTCAATCTTATAGATATGTCAAAGACTCTTTAAAGTTTTATTTCTAAAGAAGTTAAAAAAGTTACTTTGTTTTAGTTCGTTTCGCATTTTATTTTATTATGTTTATCACTTTAGTGTAAAATGAGAGAATTTTATTTGCAAAATAATTTTTCAATTTTTAATTATAATGTTTTTAATTTAACTTTTAGATTAAATCTTTGTTTGTAAAAAAGTAATTATAAATTAATTTAAAAAATGTGCTTTGTACTCTCGTTATAAAAAGAATTCAGCAAAAGCTTTTAGTATTATTGTACCAGATAGATATATAATGTATAATAATTAGCTCTCTAATTAAATGCGAAAATAATAAAGCAAAAATTATATATGTTCATTGAAAATAGATTTTACACACACACACACAAGTAATATATTCTTTATCTCTTCACATAATATTTCTTTGTTTTATTTTGCACATTATGCTATAAATTTATCGGCGTATGTACTATTGTTTTATAACACAATGATTATTGGTCAATATAGATTAAAAAAGGAGAATATCGGCGTTGTCCGAAACATAAACTCCAATGTTCCGACTTGTTTCAGCGAATATTAAGCAAGATGAGAAAATATTTGCATAAGAATTATTTTTTGTTTTATCAGCAACGAAAGCTTTTAACGTACATTTTTTCTCTCAATTTTGCAACAAGTGATAATGTTCATCAAAGTTCCGCTTTAGTGAGTGATGACATACATCAGAGCGAAGATGTCCTTTTATATCGAAGCAAGAATCTGCTTTTATATCAGTATTTGTTTAAATTGCTGTGGCACTTTTTAAATGTATGAAAAACATACATTACATCGCTTTTATATTATACCAATTATATGACTAAATTTTCATATCAAAACAACACAGCCGCATAAACAGAGGTGTTATTTTTGAAGAATCTCTCATCTTTATTTTTCAACGTTTTCACGCATTCTTTGTTGAAATAAAATTTATATTTCGTTCAATGTGTTTATCGCTTGCAAAACTAAGGATTTAAGAGTAAATTGGCTCATTGACTAATTGGCCAACTGATAAATTATCAAATTGGTAATTAGTCATATTCTCATTCACTTTTGTTCACTTTTATCTCATATAATTTCACGAGATAACGCGCACGATAAGTCGTTAGAAACATGACGCAAGATTAAGATTCCACCTTTCAACCCTTCCGCCTGAGAAATTTGTTCACTCGAAGCAAGACTTTTTTTTTACAACACGTCCGCCTGCGCGACGGCCGCCGGTGATCTGATAATCGCGTGTGTGGCGCGTGGTGCGCGTAAATTATATGGCTATGCTCGTTAAAACGATAAGCCGCATCCGTCATCAGGCGCAGACGCGCGGTCTCGGCTCCTTTAGCATATATGTATGTGTGTACTGTGTGCCGTGGTATGCATCGCAAGCTCCTGTTGGATTTGCACAACTTCAGCATGCCGGAATCGTAGTTGCAATTAATTATATGCGCATAGAAAACCGCATTCAACGTAAGTTGTTTATTTAATTGTTTTTTATGACACGCTTATGTTTCAAATGTATTTGCAAAGAGTGCCGCGTATATACGTGCAGTCTTGCTCTATTCTCTTTCCTTCGCGTGCATAAAGAAGCCCTCTAATACGAAAAAAGCACGGTATTCTATGAATATACTTGTACAATTTTACAATCTGTACGAATTGTTCAACACATGCGACGTTCCTTTTGCAGGAAATCATCACGTCTTTGGTGGGAGTCTCCCGAATTGTTTTACAGAAAATTAGAACGCATCGAAGATATGCAATCACATTTCTTGAAGCAGGAATGAACTTCTCATCCGTCAATTATTTTATAATAAAATTATGTAAGCGGAATGAAATTTTGCTTCACAGCGCGAGATGTTTGACGTGGAGCTTTCGACGTATCTGCGTGATGGCATTTCCTTTTTAATAATTTTTTCGTGACATTTGTCTTTGAAGTTAAAAATCATTGATGGCCAACGACACTGAGATAACGACGTACTGTCAGCACGCAGGTTCACAGGACAGAAACATTTGTTGCTCCGCTTGCGATACTCACGTTCCGATTGGAATCCCGAGATTTCTGTCGTGATTCGAACTAAGGTACGACTTCTCGCGCGCGATGCGACCACGCCCGTCGAAAAATCGCCCTCCATCTGAAGTACAACGGTTAGGACAAGGTGCACTTAAAGGCGCCTCCAATTGTAGCAGCAGCAGCATCCGGGGAGAAACGTGCTTCCGTGCTTTCGTCTCGCGCGTGCGTTCTGCCCGCTCGTTGCCATTCGCAGCTCGACGAATCTCTTTCTCCTTCTCGGCTCGCTGAATATTGATCTTCAATCTCGAATTCGCACAGCAGCTCTCCTTTCTACTTCTGTCTCTCTCTCGCTCTCGCTCTATTTATTTCTTTTCCTCTGCCTTTTGGTGTTGTCTGTCATCTTTCGCGTCTTTTTCATCTTTTATTTAAATCAAAGATATTCGGATTGTAGCAATAAGACGCATAAATAGTGTAAATTGGATCAATAAAATTTGTCAGAATTATAACTTTAATTAACTTTATACATTCTTATATTTGAGATATATTTTTAAATGGAAATATGTTTCAATTCAAGCTTTCAAATTTAAGTTTAGACCAAGGTTTGGAGATGATTTTAAAGATTGAGTTAGCAACATTTATAAATTATACAAAAAAGAAAAAGATAGTTGTACTACAGAACGGTGCTTTACAGTTTGGCTCCTCTTTTTTTGACTTGTTCTTCTATTTTTACTCACATTCTAATAGTCGTGCAATATATTAATATCACTTAATATTACTTCATGCTATTTAAGTTCTGTTGGCATAAATTAAAAACCGAAATAATTATTATAAATTTTTATAGCAATAAATATTAAATTTGTTGATTTTGTCGGCTCGCTTCTTTTTCGCTTTGAAGGATATCAAATCCATAATGAAACGAAGAGAGAGATATGAAAATGTCTGGAGTTTTTCGATGACAAATTTGTGGCAAATAGCGAGAAGCTTGCATACCAGTGTCAAACCAACTGGAATTATATACGTCGGCGATTAAATTGCTTTTTCTAACGCTCCCTTTATCAAATGCTGCTGATACGTGCCGATAAATATCTTGAAATCGCACTTGTTGCGGAGGAGGAAGTAAAAAGTTGCATTTTTCCATGTAAAAGGCGATAGGACTTCTTCCGGCTCTGGATAGTCTCTTGAAAAGTTCATACAGCGAGTCTGTACGAGCGTAATAGCGAACATCTTCCAGCGATTCAGATAAATCGATTGCCATTCGATAAGCATTTTCGCAGAATTATCTTTCCTTTTCTCATGCTCATGCCATTCTCTTCTGATAATAACTCCATATTAAAAATTCCTTTACAATCTTATTTTCTTCGCACATCATTGGATTAGCTGAAATTTCTTGATCGAAATTATATTTTGCGCAATCGTAGACACCCTAGTTGATGTTCACGAAAAATTAAATTCTATATTAAGTCCCAAATTTTTTAAAATTAATAATACATTGATTTCGATAACTCGGGTAATTAATTCCAAAATTAAAACATAATTATTTGTAATTATTTCTACATTTTTATTTATTTTACTTGTTTTATTATATTTTATGTATTTTTTATATATAAATTTTTATATATTTTATTTATCTTATTAAATTCTTAAACTGTCAAATAATAATACTTTGCAAATACAATACTTTTCATCATACATTGAAAATATTATTTGCATACTTACAAGATAAAATATTATTTGCATACTTATTTTAAAAACGAGATACTTTTGTAGAGAAATAAATAATGATACATTTAGAATAACAAAAATTTTAATCAAAAACTAATCAAAGATTTTTAACTATAAAATATATTTATACAATTCTGAGAGCTTAAAGATTCTGAAAATTATGAAATACTTAAGATGATAAAATTTTAAAGAAAAATTCTAAGAATATGGAACTTTTATATAAAGATAAGATAATAATTTACAAAATCAGAAATTTTATTTACCATTCTATATTAATTTCATGCTATTCCATATTAAATTTATTTTAATTTTCTATTCTATAGTAATTATTTTATTCAACAAACTTGTTTCATATTGTGCAAGAAATTTTTCAAGTTATGCTAGTAAAAAAAGAATATTATGACTTTAACTAATTACGATACAAATAATAGTATGCTTTTATCTCTTTTAAAATGCATTTCAATAGAAAACAAAAATAAGATTAGAAATAAATGAACGAGGAACTAAAAATAAGCTTGTTGAAGCTTATTCAACGTCGTTATTCCCGGGATTTATTAATTAAATATTCGCGTTTAGATGGTACTGATCGATAATTAATCGATTACTCACCCTCAGAGTGCACCACGTCCATTCGTCGAGGCTGTTAGGGGAGACGATGCGTTTGTCGTCCACTTTTTGCAAGGAGCTCAACGACGCTCGCGTCACCACGTCCATCTTCGGCCTGCTGCGGTGTTACGCGCCGTTTAACCGATCTCAAATCATCCTCGATGATAGTTGCAGCACGATGACAACGGCGATGACGGCGATGATTGCGATTTTACGGCTGTTGTACGCATCGCGACGACAGATCCGCGATGACACTGATCGCCTGAATCGCAATCGGCAAATGAATCACCCCGTGCGCTACCTGCGCCGATTCAGTCATGGTCACGTCAAGCCGAAGCTTTATCATGATAACAGAAATGGGCCACTCGAAACACTCCCCTGACTTTCCTACTTTATCATTTTCTCTCTCTCTCCTTCTCTCTCTCTCTCTCTCTTCTCTCTCTCTCTCTCTCTCTCTCTCTCTCTTCTCTCTCTCTCTCTCTCTCTCTCTTCTCTCTCTCTCTCTCTCTCTC